TGTGTTCACTTCTGCATCTATCTGTGTGATTGTGTTTCTAATAGTTACAGTGGCTCCTGCTGCTTTAATGTTTTACCTGGCTCATTTAAAATAAAAGTAAAATAATCTATTTTTGGTAAAAAAAAAAAAAAAAAGAAACAAAAAGAAAAAAAAAAAAAAAACAAAAAAAAAAATTTAGCTCATATATAAAATTACTTTGGCTCTTTATTTGTTTTGCATGTATGCCAACATCAGCTTGCTCACAGATACACTTTAAAATTATTATAAGCAGACATTGATTCAATTTAAGCTCAGTAATTACTTCAGCATGATCCGAGTTATGTAAAAATGACTATGGGCTCATCTGCGTGATTACAGATGCTCTGCAGCACTATATGATTCAGCTCCACTGCTGCAAACCCAGATTCAAACTTTGCATTGCCTCACTCCACAGTAGCCGCTGTTATCAGCCAGATTTTTCGTATTAAGATCCTGATCATTTAGATTTGGAATGACTGCGATGCTGTATTTGAGTTATTCTTATAAAAGCTAAGTTATCCTGGAGTACTGGTCTGAAGTAACCCGTAGCACAGCTGTGACTGAACAGGTCTGGTTGCAGTGAGGTGTCATAATGACAGTCTGTGGGGATTAAATCAGTCCTGCTGTGTGCACAGCTTCAGTTTGTTTCCTGTCGCAGCTCTTACCCTGTCTCTGCTCAGATCCACCGCTGGCACGCGGCTCACATGTCCGGTGACGGTGTCGTTGGACAGGTACACTCCCAGGACCACCGCCAGCACCAGAACACCGAGGAGGCAGAACAGCAGCACCCGGGCCCGGGGCATCCGGACCCGGTCACAGCCGGGCAGCGAGCCGCCGCCCCCGCTGCTCTGCTGGAGCGGCTTGAACCTCCGGTCGGACCTGGACATGACTGAACGCGCAGAGCCGCTCCTGGCGGTCCTTACAGCTACGTGTCACAACCGGCTTTGCAGAACAGCGCAGGAGAGAGAGTCACACAGGAAGTGGAGGCTGTTGAGAAGCAAAGCCGAGGGGGACATCCGACACAGCACGCTGCCCTCCTGCAGCACAGCGGCAGCCCATCATTAGCTGCAGCTCGGCGGACTCCGGGGGTCGCAGCTCCTAGACGCAGCGGCCCCGCAGCTCGAAGACACGCCGGACATGTTGGAGATGTTCAGTGGAGCTTTTAATCCATCATAAATTACAACAGAGACACAAACTGCCGCCTGTAACGCCTCACTTTCTGTCGTAAAACTCGTTTTAATCCACTTACAGCTACATCAGAGAAACACTACAAAAATGAAGTAACGAAGCAAGCTTATCATAACTCCACTGCCGCGTTATTCCTTTTAAAAATGTTTAATTTTAACCCCTTCTCTTTACGGTACATCTCCACTGAAAACTGCACTGCTTCTTCTTCTGTGGTGCCTGTAGGGGGGTAAAGACGTAATCGCCACCTATGGAGCGCAAAAGGAACTACAGTAAACAACACAACACTTTGTTAGGTACATCTTCTTGTTCTTGCCTTCAGATTGCCCTTAACCCAAACACTTCAATTCGGCTTCCTGGAAAGTGTTGGAAAATTTGAAGGAGAACATTAATTTGGGACTTTTATTTGTATTTTCATAGGTTTTACAGACATTCCCCGTGGCCATTACCACCAAAGTAAATAAGTAATAGATTTCTGTCATTTTACACACTCACTACTTACCGTTTAAGCCTAAAGAGTCAGATTTCTTTCATTTGCTACAGCAGCATTTCTTTAACATGTAACGTGTAAAACTGAGACATACAGTTAGGATTGCAGTTCTTTTTCTTATATTAAAATATCTCAGGGATTATATGTATCACTAAGCTTCAGCTTCCTGTTTTTAGCTGACAGGAGTGGCACCCTCCTTTTGTTGGGGGGTGGCACATTCATCTGCTAGTGTAGACAGACCTACAGTCATCTGCTGCTGTAGTTCATCTTGCACATGCAGAGATGCTCTTCTGCATCAATTTGAATTTCAGCAGGTTGTATTGATCATGACTACATGCCTAAATGCAGTGAGTTGGTGGCATGTGATTGACTAATTAGATATTTGCAATAAGCCGTTGAATAGAATTGAATACAATGCCTTTATTGTCACAATACAGACATACAATGAGATACAGAGCATCTCCTACTCAGTGCAAACATGTTTCAATTCAATTCAATTCAATTCTTTATTTATTTGTCACATGTAGTTATAGCTGGTACAACATACAGTGAAATGTTTTTTCTGGCTAAAAAAGTACTCCCCCCGACTGTGCAAACATGCTAAAAAGGATTTTACATAAGCTAAGAAAAAAAGGAAAAGAAACAAAAGTTAAAAGTAAAAAAATATATAAAAAAACAATGTAAAAGTCCATATGTTTGTGCTTATAAATATATATCCATGACGTGCAAGATATTGCACTGTAATGATTTGAATGAGAAGACTATAAAAATATACATATTTACATAGTACAGATGTATATAATAAGGTACGGATAAGGTTCAGAGAAGAAAGATAAAGTGCAAATTATGTACTGTGTGTGAGATTGTCCATCATGTTGTCCGGTTTGTGTTTTGGTTGAGGAGTCTCACAGTTTGTGGGTAAAAACTCCTCCTGAACCTTTCTGTTCTTGTTTTCAGGCTACAGAGGCGCTTCCCTGACCTCAGTGGCCTGAACAGTTTGTGGGCGGGATGGCTAGAATCCCTAATGATCCTGATGGCCCTGGATCTGCACCTTTCAGCATAGATGTCCTGCAGTGCTGGTAGAGATGTTCCCATAGTGCGTTCAGCTGTGCGCACAACCCTCTGCAGGGCTTTCTGTTGCTGTACTGTGCAGTTCCCGTACCACACCATGATGTTGTTGCACAGGATGCTCTCAATGACACCAGTGTAGAATCTCCTCTGTATATTCTTGGAGATCTTAAACCTCTTTAGACGCCTCAGGTGATAGAGGCGCTGTCTGCCTTTACTAATGAGGAAGTCCGTGTGTGTACTCCAAGTGAGGTCCTCGTTGATGTGGACACCGAGGTATTTGAAGTTGGAGACTCTCTCCACAGGGGTTCCATAGATCTGAATTGGGGTGTGAGTTTTCTCGCCTCTCTGTTTTCTAAAGTCAATCACCATCTCCTTTGTTTTACTGATGTTCATGGAGAGGTGATTTGCCTCACACCACTTTGCTAGTCCATCCACCTCACTCTGGTAGGCCGTCTCGTCGTTCCCAGAGATGAGTCCCACCACCACTGTGTCGTCAGCAAACTTCACAATGGAATTAGTGGGGTGTCTGGCCGTGCAGTCCGCGGTGTAGAGGGAGTAGAGAAGGGGGCTCAGTACACATCCCTGGGGGGCCCCTATGTTCAATGAGAGTGTATGGGAGTACACATCCCCTATTCTCACTGACTGTGGTCTCGTGGTCAGGAAGCTATAAATCCACCTGCACAAAGATGTACTGAATCCCAGATCTTGGAGCTTACCCGAGAGGGTGTGGGGAACTATGGTGTTGAATGCTGAGCTGTAATCTATAAACAGCATTCTCACATAGTTCCCACATCCCTCATCTAGATGGCTCAGTGTGGTATGCAGGACCTGTGCTACAGCATCTCCGGTAGATCTGTTTGTCCGGTATGCAAACTGCAGTGAGTCGAAGTCGGGAGGAAGGAGGGAACTGATGAAGGGTTTCATGAGCCTCTCAAAACACTTCATCACTACAGATGTTAGGGCTACTGGGCGATAATCATTTAGGCTGGCTGGGCGGGTGTTCTTCGGGATCGGAACAATCACTGATGTTTTAAAGCAGGTGGGGACTACCTGCTGAGCCAGAGAGGCATTGAAGAGGCTAGTGAAAACTGTGGTCAGCTGATCTGCACATACTCTTAGCACACGTCCCGGTATGCTATCTGGTCCCGCTGCCTTCCTGCAGTTTGTTGCCATGTATATAGTGCTGCACAGTTATTGCAACACTATATACAAATGGACAGTATTTATAGAAAAAATATATAAAATGTGCAAATATACAATCTGATAAAATTAAATAAATAAATCAGTCAATATGTAAATAAATAGTGTTGTGTATATACAGTTTGGGTTATTGCACAGTGATGGTTTATAGAGGGAAATCCTTGGAATGGGGGGTGAACTGTGTTTATCAGTGCATGTGTGAGTTCAGGGTGGTTATGGCTTTTGGGAAGAAACTGTTCTTGAGTCTGTGGGTCTTTGTGCTATTGCATCTGTAGCGCTTCCCTGAGGAAGCAGGTTGAACAAGTTGAAACCAGGGTGGGAACTGTCTTTGATGATGTTTGTTGCTCTGTTGAGACAGTGGGAGGAATAAATGTCCATCAGAGAGAGGAGAAGGCAGCCGATGATCTTCTGTGCTGCCTTGACTACACTCTGAAGCCTCACTCTATCTGCCTTAGTGCAGGTGTAGGTGTGCCCAATGAAGTGGCCATTGAGTGTATATTTTCTACTGCTTCTGCAGCACATTAAACTTCAGTGCTTTGCTGTGACAAAGCAAACATGTTTTATTTATTACTGTTTCTCCGGATTTTTAAGTCTTCTGACTCTTTAAGGATTTAAGTTTAAATCAAACCTTTTAAACTGATGCATCAGAAACGTGTAATTCACAAATATAATACTTTGACATGCAGTTATTATTTATACTTTGGTTCTTTGTAAATTACCACTATAATATGTGTTCTTACGATCCAAAATCCTGCCTCTGAAAACAAAACAGACATATATACAAACTGAAAACGCACAATAAACCCCAAACACACCATTTTTTCTGTACTAACTCGGGAATTTTTAACCTTTTCAGACAAATACACCTCATGTACACATACATGTGACATTTTCCTGTTAACAGGATAGTTTACTTTGACTGTAAAAGTTGCTTTTTTGTGTGTTTTGACCCACTGTTATGACACACTTCTCTGTCCCGCCAGATTTGAAGTCCCGCGATGTTGATTGGCCGAGATGCCTGTCCATCTCGTCACTTCCGTGGTGACGCATTCCGTACAAATAGGAGGTGAGCGGGTTTTATGGGGCTCTTTCGCGCGCTTCTACAGCGAGCAGTCGGCGAGTTAGTGTCCAGCAGCTCGCTGTGATCCCGCGAACAGCTTCGACTTTACCTGGAGAGCTGCTCACACCCCCGTCCCTGAGACAGAGACGCCTGAGCCCGCCAACATGCATGTGATCAAAAGAGGTGAGCGCTGCGATGTTGTAGCAGGCCTCGGTTAGCTTCGTGTGGAGTTACCGGTGATTCTGTCTGCTGTGGGGTTACATCATTTAGCGACAGGCTGGTTAACCTGGACTAGTGAGGAGCTGGTTAGTGCTGCACCGTCCCCCTGACGTGGAGGTTAAACGTGTTTAAGTGGTGGTGGTGGTGGGGTCGGTTGTAGTTTGACAATATGGACTTAGTCTTTGTCTTAAAAGAGGCGCCAAAAGTTTTTATAGCCTCGCAGTGTAACGTCATAAAGAAGATCTATAAACCCTTACAACACCTCCTCTTTGAAGGTAGTTTTGACAGTGTGTTCAGAGTTTGATCTGAACTGTAATGTTCAAACCTTACAGTGTTGAGCAGGTCTTGGCGATGATTGGGAGAAAGAACTCCCAATCATCAAGAAGAGAAATCGGTTCTTTTCCTGTTAGGAGGGTTCAGGGAGGGGCAGCCATCGACTGGTTGGAGGATGAGGGGAGATGGAAGGGAAAAGGAGCAGAGGGAGGAAAAAATAACAACTAAACAAGAGAAGAGTGTAGAAAAAAGATTAATGACAAAACACAAAGAAAAACGATTAATAGAGACTAAATGCATCATAGGAAGAAACTTTACTTTTGGGTTGAGCTTCATCTAAAGATATGATTGTCATCTTCATGCCTTTTTGAGCCTCAGTGTAGCCCCTTGTTATCTGAAACAAGCAGGTTTAGTTTTCTGCCTTTTAAATAAACTGTCCTGTGATTGGTGCTGTGGACTCTGACTCAGCCCAAGACCAGCCTGCTTGTGTAGTTATGAGGGCCCAGACTTGGTTGATTCCTTTATGAGGTCAGATCCCTTTGGTGACGGGATCACATTTATCTCTGGATCTAAGGTTCAGGCCAAAGTTCCACCTGCTGACAAAATACAACCAATCCTGAATTTGGTGGTTGTACCTACTGCCTATCGTACCCAGGTATTGTCCTTAGCACATGACCATCCATGGTCAGGACATTTGGGGGTTAACAAGACCTACAGCAGAATTCTGAAACATTTCTTCTGGCCAGGACTGAAATCTGATGTTGTTCAATACTGCCGTACTTGCCATGTATGTTCATTTAAGAACATTATGACTCTCTCAGGTAGTGAATTTTTTTTTAAATCCTCCAGTAGCATTAACTCGCTCAGAGACTCATAATCATCACCAACTCCGTTAACAGCACACCATTTATCAAAAAGATCCTCTTTTCATGTGCAAACTAGGGCTGAACGATATATCGCATTTGCGATAATATCGCGACATGATCAAGTGCAATTTTCTAACCGCAAAGGCTGCGATTATACTCTGGACATGTCCAAATTCATGGGCTGCATCCTCCTGAGGCCGCATTTGTAGACCGATTACGTCACAGCGACGCGCCGAAGGCTGTCCAAATTACTACCATATCCCAGAATTCATAGCGCGGCCCAGCCAAACTCCAGTTTCCAGCAATGGCGGCCGCTACTAAGTTTTAAAATTACTCATACTAATCTTTCTGGGTCACAAAATAAACTTTTAACATATTTTCAGGCGAGAAAGTAGTTGTGTAAACATCAAATATCTGCTCGGTTTATCAAGATATCCCATATTTGCAAAAGTGCTTCGACGTTTTCAGAGGCGTCTGCTACCCACCAGCTCGACAGCTAGCCGGGAGCTCGAGGGTTACTGATGCGGCCGAGAACGGCACAACTCCCGGCACATCATTTTCAGATCACCGCGGAGTTTCGCTGCTCGGGTTAAACGTAATAGAACTAGCCTTCTGATTAGCTAATCAGAAGGCTAGTTCTGATTAGCTAATCAGAACTAGCCTTCTGATTAGCTAATCAGAAGGCTAGTTCTGATTAGCTAATCAGAAGGCTAGACCGTCCAATTTCACGCCTTTAAACTTTAAAGGCGTGTTTGTGTGTGTGTTTATACAATTGCTATTATGTTTGCACTTTATGTGTAATGTTACTGACTGCAGAGATCAGTAAGATGTGTGTATTTTTTATTTATTAGTTTTATTTATTTAATATTATTTTTTAATTGAATGACTGTCTAGTAGTTCACAGATGTCGAAAAACTGAGTGTGGTAAAGCCACTGATTTTTTTTTTATGTATATTTCTGCAATCTGCACATTGTACTGACTTTCATTTTAATGTTTACACCAGGGTTCCTTGTCAGCACTTTATGCTCAGATGTTTGTAAGCTAAAAATAAACTATTGTGTATGTTCAAATATACTGTTGTGATTGAAGAAGTTAAATAAAAATGTCAGTCATCAATTCATGCATCACCTCATGTCATCATAACAGAGGTCTGTCTTCCAGGAAAGAACAGTTTAAAATTAATGTAATATAGTATTGGCCATACTATATGATGTATTGCTTGTCTTTGTTTAATAATACAGAAGACAAAGACCTTAAAAAATAATCGCATATCGCATCGCAATCGCAATATTGGGGCAAAAAATCGCAATTAGATTATTTTCCATAATCGTTCAGCCCTAGTGCAAACTCCACATATGTTTGACTGCTGGACTCTTGTGGTTCCTAAATTTCTGCCTGTAGGCCTCAGGTACCAGTTCATAGGCACGTACAATTGTTTCCTTCAACACTTCATATTTCATGCTCTGCTCTAGCGAAAGTGAAGCTACTACCTCCTGAGCTTTGCCCGCTAATTTACACTGAAGTAAAAACGCGTTTCTCTATTTTTCAGATGGACGCCAAGAGCGCGTCATGTTCGACAAAATCACATCTCGCATCCAGAAGCTTTGCTACGGACTCAACATGGAGTTTGTGGACCCAGCCCAGATCACGATGAAGGTCATCCAGGGTTTGTACAGCGGCGTCACCACTGTGGAGCTTGACACGCTGGCGGCGGAGATCGCTGCCACTCTCACAACCAAGTACCCCGACTACGCCATCCTTGCAGCACGCATCGCCGTCTCTAACTTGCACAAAGAGACGAAGAAGGTGTTCAGCGACGTCATGGAGGACCTGTACAACTACATCAACCCCCTGAACAAACGCCACTCCTCCATGATTTCGAAAGACACACTTGACATTGTTCTTGCAAACAAAGACCGCCTTAACTCGGCCATAATCTATGACAGAGATTTCTCCTACAACTTCTTTGGCTTCAAGACTCTGGAGCGCTCCTACCTGCTAAAGATCAATGGCAAAGTAGCTGAGCGTCCGCAGCACATGCTCATGAGGGTGGCTGTGGGAATCCACGGGACGGATATCGAAGCAGTCATCGAGACCTACAACCTGCTGTCAGAGAAGTGGTTCACCCACGCCTCCCCGACCCTCTTCAATGCTGGAACCAACAGGCCGCAGCTGTCCAGCTGCTTCCTGCTCGCCATGAAGGATGACAGCATCGAGGGGATCTACGACACGCTGAAGCATTGCGCCCTCATCTCCAAATCAGCTGGAGGGATTGGCGTGGCAGTCAGCTGCATTAGATCCACGGGGAGCTACATCGCCGGCACCAACGGCTGTTCCAACGGGCTCGTCCCAATGTTGAGGGTTTACAACAACACAGCGCGTTATGTTGATCAGGGGGGCAACAAAAGACCCGGCGCCTTCGCCATGTACCTGGAGCCCTGGCACTTCGATGTGTTTGACTTCCTGGAGCTGAAGAAGAACACGGGAAAGGAGGAGCAGCGAGCCAGGGACCTGTTCTACGCCCTGTGGATCCCTGACCTCTTCATGAAGCGGGTGGAGAACAACGAAGACTGGTCCCTGATGTGTCCGGCCGACTGCCCCGGGCTGGATGAGTGCTGGGGGGAGGAGTTTGAAGAACTCTACACCAGATATGAGAAGGAGGGGAGGGTGAAGCGTGTGGTGAAGGCTCAGCAGCTATGGTATGCAATCATCGAGTCGCAGACAGAAACCGGGACGCCGTACATGGTCTACAAAGATGCCTGCAACAGGAAGAGCAACCAGCAGAATCTGGGCACCATCAAGTGCAGCAACCTCTGCACGGAAATCGTCGAGTACACTAGCAAGGACGAGGTGGCGGTTTGCAATCTGGCCTCTGTCGCTCTCAACATGTACGTCACCCCTGAGCGGACTTATGACTTTAAAAAATTGGCATCCGTGACCAAAGTAATTGTCAGGAACTTGAACAAGGTTATCGACATCAACTACTACCCGGTGGAAGAAGCCAGGAGGTCGAACATGCGCCACAGGCCGATAGGAATCGGGGTCCAGGGATTGGCTGATGCTTTCATCCTTATGCGTTATCCCTTTGAAAGCCCCGAGGCTCAACTGCTCAACATCCAGATCTTTGAGACTATGTATTATGCCGCTTTGGAAGCGAGCTGCGAGCTGGCCGCCGAGCTCGGCACCTATGAGACGTACGAAGGCTCGCCGGTGAGTAAGGGCATTCTCCAGTACGACATGTGGGAGAAGACGCCAACGGACCTGTGGGACTGGAAGCTGCTGAAGGAGAAGATCGCCAAACATGGCGTGAGGAACAGCCTGCTGCTGTCCCCAATGCCCACGGCCTCCACCGCCCAGATCCTGGGCAACAACGAGTCCATCGAGGCCTACACAAGCAACATCTACACCCGCCGGGTGCTCTCGGGGGAGTTTCAGATCGTCAACCCCCACCTGCTCAAAGACCTGACAGAGAGGGGCCTGTGGAATGAGGAGATGAAGAACCAGCTGATCGCTAACAATGGCTCCATCCAGGTAATCATCAGCAGGGAGGAAAACCATTAAAGATGACAGACATCTCTAGGTTCCAGCTTCTTAGGTGTGAACTTCATTCTGTAGACTAAAATATTGATTCCCAAACATTTCCTTTACAGGAAAAGATAAAATGCCACTTAACTGCTTTTAAATATATACATTTAAAGCTTCAAGACTCTTGAAAAAAAGCATAATGAAATTAGGCAATACTCCATCTCTTTGCTGTTTTTCATCCTCTTTCATCTTGAATAATTAGTCTTCTAGTTCATCAATTAAAAAACTAATTTCGATTAGGTGCCACAAAGTAAATCACTGAACAGTCAAATATTTAGAGGATCCAAAGCAATCTGTGAAAACACAAAGAAGGAAATCCGTCATCCCAGTCTAACATTCTGAAATGGTCCAATTATTTTTGTAACTATTTCGTTTCCACAGCAAATTGTTTCTTCCTGTTAAAGGGGAGTTTTTCCTCCCCACTGTCACGCAGTGCTTGCTAGGTCATCTGTTGGCGTTTTCTCTCAATTGTTGTCGTTAGCTTACAAAATAAAGCACTGTGACATGAGTGTTGTTGTGATTTGGTGCTACTTAAATAAAATTGAATGGAAAATGGTTTTAAGCATCACATTAGCCCTAAATTCTGGTCTGTGTCCCAAATACCATCAGCTGAGAAGTTTAAGATGTTTTAAGCTCAGGTGGGGTTTTTTTCTTCTTGTTTTTACTCTTTTGTGTTTGAACCTGAAACTTTAGTTTTAATTATTATTTTTTTTAATTTTGACAGAACATCAATGAGATCCCAGATGATCTGAAGCAGCTCTACAAAACCGTATGGGAGATCTCACAGAAAACTGTAGTCAAGATGGCCGCCGACCGTGGGGCCTACATTGACCAGAGCCAGTCCCTGAACATCCACATAGCAGAGCCGAACTACGGCAAGCTGACCAGCATGCACTTCTACGGCTGGAAGCAGGTGAGTGTCGAGCTGCACGAGGAGGAGTGAAACCTCACCGTGAAGACATGTTGGGGTTTAAAATAACTCCGTCTTTCTCCCACCGCAGGGTCTGAAGACTGGGATGTACTATCTGAGGACCAAGCCTGCCGCCAACCCCATCCAGTTCACCCTGAACAAGGAGAAGCTGAAGGAGGCACAGCCGGCCACGTCCTCGGAGCAGGAGATCAAAGAGCGCAACACGGCGGCCATGGTGTGCTCTCTGGAGAACAAGGACGAGTGCCTGATGTGCGGCTCGTAAACGTTTCCTGCTGAAGCCCTGGATCTTCTTCCTTGACTTAAAGCTTCTTCCACTACAGTTCAGAGTTATAAATCAGTATTGTATAAAGTAAACTTCCTGTCGACTCAAAGACAGAAAGCACTTACTGTAAAATACATTTGAGACTTTTTCTAACAACTTGTGTTGATTGTGTAAAATCTGTTTCATTGACGCTTTGTCTGCTATAAACAAAATGGACTGAATGTTTGTTTTTTTTTTCTTAGTTGTATTCACTGCTGTGACAAAATTGTGCCACACTTAACAGAACTGCAATCAAGTGTTTATGATAAAGAGGGGTGATTACTTTTCAAACAGGGTCTGGTAGGTTCGGTTTTATTTTTTATTTTTCTCCTCAAATGAAATTTAAATACAGAATTAAAAAAATAATAATTTACTCAGGTTCTTTATGTCAGACACCGATGGGAGAGACTGTTTTTACCAGTTTATTAATGAAAAATGTACTGATTAATTCATTTAACCAGGAACCTAAAAATGAAAACGGGGACAGACAGCAAAATTTTTTTTTTCAAATGTACTGTTAATGCAGCAAAAATCTGCTTCATGTTTAAGTGAAAAACATTTTCTTTACATACACAGAATTTACTAACTCCTTACAACCCTGCAGTCGTTTTCTAAAATCTGAAACTAAAAGGTTATTTTTGAACCGCAGCTCAAAAACTCAAAGACCAGAAACCAGCAAATGTTTTGACTTATTTTTAATATATTTTTTTTATAAAACAATGAAAACATAATTTACACTTTTAAAATGTACACGTTATTACAACCCAAAGAAAACCAAACCCTTGCTTCAGTTATTCCTGCTGAATGCAGGAAACATCGATGGAAAGAGGAACAATGAGGCTTGAGGAAAAAGTAAAGGAAGGAGGAATTGAAGAGAAAACACAGTACCCTCTCATCTTCACTATTGTCTGCAACAGTGACCAACATGTCAAAAATAAATTATAAAAATATTAACAACAAAAAACAAAGAGAATAACTGGTCACACAATATTACCAGTAATAATGCATTATTGGATTTGTTCAATAGGGGTCCTTGTGTATGCTTTAAATAGCTTAAAATTATACATAACAAGATTTATATATATATGTAAAAAACAAACAAAAACAACCTTGCCCCTTTTACATCAGCAAACTAAAGATTAAGACTTGAAGACACTAAAATCACAGCTACACCTGCAGAGCTGTGTGGATGGAGGACACCCTGCTAACAGGAACCCGACTGAAGCTGCTTAAAGACAAAAAATGACAAAGGAAAAACTGGGATGACAACAACCCAGAGAAGGAGGCGGTGGGTTTAAAGCGGGTGCTGCAGAGAGAGAGAGAGGAGCGGGGGTGGGGTGAAGAAGGCGTTAGTTATCCTCCGGGGTCAGTGACAAAAAAAAAAAAAAAAGGTTTTATTTGGCTCTTCCAGCAATTTGAAACATCCTGCTGCCCAAAAACATTTAAAGGGACAACGGTGCAGACAGCAGGGTGACGTCTGTCATCATCAACCCCCCCTCCCCCCCCAACGGTCGAGTGTCGTTAACAGCATCCTGAGGAACCTGAGTGGAAACTTTAAACAGATCCAGTTAAAGAGAAACCTCCTGTTTTATCAGAGAGATGAGAGTGCAGTACAGTTTTAGCAGGGCGAGGGGGTTGGGGTGTACTGTCTATTCACTGCCAGCATTCAAAAATATGTTTCTGTATGAAAAACACAGTACACAGTATCATTGAGAGCACTGTCGCAGTATAAAACACAAGAAAAGTCCTCTCAAACAAGCACATCTGTCCTGATGTGACGGGCTTTCAGGTACAGTACATGTTTCCTGTGAGCGCGCTCAGCCGGAGACGGAGCTTCACTGGATCACAAATACATGAAGACTTGAGAACACTTTGAGAAAATACACTTATTTACTTTCTTGGTGAGGCTGTTGCACATGCTTTATGCACTCCAGTTCAGTTTGTGACGTCTTAAAACACAAAAACAACAACCGGCTCGCTCTGCTGCCCGACACACGAAATCATAAACAACACAAGGTTTGTTAAAGGACGTCGGCTAGAGGTTACAGCGATGTGATGGAAGCAATTTGATTTCACAAAAGCAAAAATAACATGACGTGTGTGAGCCATCGAATCACCTCATAACTACCAGCTCTTCTGAGAGCTGCCAGGAGCGAGAAGTTGGCTGATTTTTAAACATTTCTCCAGTTTTACAGTAATCCAGCTACAGCAGTTGGTACGTCCAATAAAAAAGGTAAAAATGAAAGTTTATTCGCCATGCTTTATTCCCCAAAACATAAACAATATGGTCAAAACTGGGCTCATGTGGGGCTACGCCAACCACATCACTTCAGAATAAGCTCTTCACCAGAAAGCAGGTAAGTGTAACTCTCAAAATTCTGCAACTAAAACCAAACAAAGGACCCGCTTAAGGTTAAAGCAACCATCATTTCATTCAGGTCTGAGATGATCGGGCACTGCTGAGGACGCTGCTCTGTGTGGGAGATACGACGCCGCCACGCTGGCGAGCTCTGCGACCGTTTGCTCTCGGCACACTGATGGCTTGATTCACATCCGTGGGCCGCCGCGGGTCACCCGTGTAAACGGAGGGCAGGAAAACGAGGCCCACAGGGTTCAGATTACAGTAAACAGGTTTGTTCATCACTCCGCTGTCCACACACACACACACACACACACACACACACACACACACACACACAGCTTTAGTACGTCTCTTATACAATATCAGTACATTGTCGATATAACTGATATATGAGAATTGTACCACACAGGTATCTATCTACAGTACCACGTCTGTAGAGCTTCCTCTCTTCTAGTGCATTCTGGGAGATGCAGTCTTATTTATTTATTTTTTTGGCTGATTGGCTGCAGGAACAGTATTAGGCCTCTCCAGGTGATGTAGTGTTCTCTAAAACAGTCAGGATCTCCACTCCTGCTCGCTCCTCCGGCATAGTAGCAGATGTATTTACACCGTGTGACAAATATCCAGACGTCAGTTAGAAAAATAAACAGGCTCAGAGCAGGGAGCGTGTAGAGAGGGAGGTTCTCTACTGGAAGGGTTTAAAAAAATCCAGATCATCTTTTTCTCTCTGGTTTAAGGCAGCCCAGTGGAAGCTGAGTGTGACATCTGCCGCCCCTGTGAGTGCAAGGAATCATGGGAACTGAAAGCCCCTCCCTCTGGCCTGAACCTCACTCTCTTCCTTGGCTGTCGGTCACTCCCTCTGTGAATCGGCTAAGGAGTGAGCCTCGTGGTCGCTGCCCGGCTTGTTGAGATTGGTCAGAAGCACGCTGAACTTGCGCAGCTGCTCGCTGGCAGTCTGGCTCTCCACCTGCAGCCGCTGGTTGTTCTCTCTCAGGTTGGCCATCTCAGCGAGTAAGACGACCTTATCTTGCTTCTCCTGTAATAGAGAGGAGGAGAAATAAAGGCAATGTTCAGTTATCAAAGACCAAATAACATCTGCATGGAGCCACAAATACATGTGAGCCTCATAATGAAAGTGATGCAGCTTTTAAACATAAATCAACATCAGCAACACATGTAAATCAAGTCTTTAAGAAGACATGACTCCACAGTCACTTATTATCGATTATTTGGTTCTTTAACCTCAGAGGGTTCCTGCTTTAGAGAGAAAAACAAAAGGCTCTCACTTTCTCCAGGTCATTGTTCAGCTGCTTCAGCATCACTTCCAGGTGGTAGAGCCGACCGGACAGATCGTTGGGCACCTCATCGCTGTAACACACACAAACACACCTGGCATTCATTACCGTGGATCCAGTGATTACACACACAAAACACCGCTGTGATGTGCACGCCGCAGGTAAACAGACAGGTTTTACTGGTTTTATTATGAGGATCCGAAAGCTCGTCATCTTCAGTAAAAACCTTTTTTTTTTTTTTTATAATAAAAGTGTGCTGCTCACTGGCAGGACAAACAGCCTCTCTGGTGCCACAGAGTTAACAAACTTTTAATTCTGGTGAAAACGCTGAAAAGAAGATGCTGATAAACTACCACCAGGTGGCAGTAGTGACTTATGAAAACCTGAATATTTACAGGCGCTCTCTGCTTCTTTACAACATGTTGTTCTGGATCTCTGTAACCGAGGGGCTGACCTACCTGCTGAGTGTGGGCGTGGTCCGTGGCGTCTGAGGAGTCTGAAACTGGACTGGACTAGCGGCCGGTCTCGTGTCTGGACCTCCGAGCTGCGGGTCAGTCAGCGAGAACAGGGAACCCGCTCTTTGTGCTGCAAAATAAACACATGATCGTGCTTTTAAAAAGCCTTTTCCACGTAAAGCACATCCCCAAAAAGAAAAGGAGTGCTCTAAAAACCTTTCCTGGGAAAAAAAAAAGTGGTAAAAGAAGGTAAAAAGCAACCAAATCCCAGCAGCCACATAAAACGATCCCCTGGGTGCAAAAAAAAAAAAATATATATATACGAGTCTAAGCACCGAGGCTCCACTGAATGATTAACAGTCCAAAATTTTTTCCAGGTCCAATAAAACGATCGGTGTGGCTGCTCTGCCAGATGTTACAATAAAGTTAAACATCTGTGAAAAAACAGGGTTTATGGGGTTTAGTGGAGTGAAGTTAGCAGTAGCTTAGCGAGTGATAAGGAGGTTTTTTTGTTGTTTTTTTTAAGTAAAGCACTACTTCAGCTTTGCATGTAAAGAAAAGCAGAAAACATAACAGTTAACATAGAAAGCTGTGCTGCTACAAACACATCAGCACTGAGAGGACGTAGACTGCTCAGGGTTCCTAACAGCCAGACGAATGTTCAAAGATCTGACATGACTCCATCCTCAGCACGGGTGAGGTCGGGGTCGATATTTCCGGGAGACTCTTGTAGAGATGGTGGTTACCTCATCACTCACAAATCAGGTTATGTTACATTTAATACTGAAATATCCATCCTCACCTTCGTACGCCTTAGCAGCGTTGACCAGGCTGGACCACTCGAGTCCGCTGGCTGTGTCAGGGAGGGGCATCATGCCGGGGTCGAGCCTCCTCAGAGGGGGGAGCTTGTCTCTCACTTCGGTCAGAGAGAGCTCGGATGCAGAGAGCGGCACTGAGGGGCAGCAGAGTCATGATTAATGATCTGAACACAATCACAGCAGGTTTGCTTTAGTCGCTGCAAGTCACTGGGAGGAGAATCGAGGCACTCACCCTTCTTGCTCTGCATGTGGTTGGAGTGGTTGGAGGAGCCGGCGTGTTTGCGTGTGGGCAGCGTGCAGGTGAACAGCACGTCGCTGGGAGTCGTCTGGTTCTCAGAGCTGGCGAAGCCGGCGTCCCTGCGTCCGCTGCACAGCGACTCGTCGGAAAAGGTGCGCTGCAGGGGGCGTCTGGGAGACTGCAGGGAGAAAGGTCAGAGGTCAGAGCTGTGTGCTCATGAGAGGAAAACGGATATCATCCACCAGCACAATGCTCACAGGGTCTCTCTGCGGCGTCTCCCCCGGGTTGTCCATGATGATCAGTTTCTTCAGGTCGTCCTCGATGCTGCTCTTGTACGTCCGTCGTGGCGAGCGCAGGTCCCTCAGTGACGCTCGCAGACGAGGTTGTCCAAACACGTTCTTTGGATTTGTGTCCACCTGCCTGGAGACACAAGATATGAGAACAAAACACAAACATACAGTCTTCCTTTATTGAACACTGCTTCCTGCCTCTTTCCACGGTAAGAAACTATGTTCCACTTTATTCTGCCTACAGTATCCTCCAGTGTTTGTTGGTCCACTGCCACTCACAGGAGAGTCAGAACTCTTTGGATGGTTTCGAGTAAAAACAAACACGTGTTGAAGGATTTCACTTTGTTTAGGAGCGATCACGCGCTCCCCGGGTGGATGGATATACGGACTTGGAAAGTTGTTCCGATCACTTTGTTTTGTGGATGTGATTTTAAGTAACAAAGTGAAAATGAGGCAGATGTTACAAAGTTCATGGCCACTGTGCGGGCCCAAGTTTGACTCCACGGATAAAGACACAAAAAGCCAAATGCCTTCAATTTCATTGATCAGCGCTTTAAAAATATGAAATTTTAAAACATAATTTGCACTGTTAATCACACATTTATGTCCACCATCCTTTTGAGTACGAGGTCATTTATATGATTATTTTGGTATAAAAGGAGGTGCCTAAAAATAATTTCTATCCCGGAAGAAGAACCAAGCATCAGAGCAGATCCGCTGAGGCTGTCGCTCTTACTTCTTGCTGTTGCTGCTGTCGGAGCTCGATGCTGTAGTCGAGTTTGAAGGAGAGGGGTTGGAGTCTTCTGCATGCCAACCGCTTGGTGTGCTCTTGCCATATGATGACTTGGGGGCGGAGCTGGACAGAGGGGTGGAGCTTAGCTTAGCTGAAGTGGGCGTTGCGGTAGAGGCTCGGACAGGCCGTGGTTTCTCCACTGGAGTTTTGTAACCCTGCGGTGTGTAGGCCCTGAAGGTTACAGAAAACAGACAGGAAACATGTTTGTTGTTTGAATGAGGACAAACATTTAAAAATCATTTGTATTTTGACTGCATCAATTGAACTGAAACACATCCTGTGCTCAGACAGGGGTGATTTTTTTTATGAAATAGTAAAATGTGTCAGTTTAAATATCAGATGTTTTCTACGCTCTAATGTGAATATAGTATGGGTTTATGAGATTTCCAAATCATCGAATTCTTTTTTTATCCACATCTTAAACAATGTTCTGGCTTTTTAGGACTTGGGGTTACGTGTCTCGATCATCATGTGACACATCGCATGCACAGAGTACAGAACAAGAGCTGCTGGGACTCAGAGTTTCAGCACAGATTGCTTTAATCCAGCACGGAGTGACCGAAGCGGGTGGAGGTTTGTGTGCTGAATCCCTGCGTGGATTTATATCACAGCCCTGACAGTTATAAAACCACGAGAGCAAGAGATCACATGATGATCTTTATGTTTGACAAGGATTAGACGGCCATAATCCTACTTTTTCTCTACATTTAGTTTAGTATTGAACATTTTCAGTCATGTGATGATGCTACATAAACTAAAGACTGATAAAAACACTCTAAAGTGATTAATAAGCACATGAATCTGAGCCTAAAACTGTAACATTCACTCTATTCTGTGACAAAACAAATTTCCCACGTGTGGGACTAATAAAGGTTATCTTATCTTATCTTATCTATTCACTGTCCATGGGGCCTGGCATTCTTACAGGAAAAGGATCAGCAGGCGATGCATCTCATCAGGAGTTTGTCACCTACCTGGGCTTGAAAGCATCCATTTTATCAGCGCTGGAGCCAGGAGGAGGGAACGTCCTCGTCCTGTACCCTTTGTTCTGATTGGCCGCAGCTGGTATAATGGGCGAAGACTCTCGTCTCTTAGCCTCCCCCCCGCTGCCGCCGCTCCTTCCCACCGACAGCTCCGGGATGCCACTGTAGGTCGCAGAGCTGTGCATGGCCTTGTGGGACTGGCTGTTGGACATGTTACTGTGGCGACCGTTTCCGTAGTGGGTCGAGGCGTCGATGCCGCTATCGTTGGATCCGCCCTTGTTAAGGAGGTCGGGGTCAGGATCGGCCGGCTCACCGAGGCAACCCACGCCTCCTCGCTCTCCAGGTGCGCCTCCGTCGAACCAGCGCTCGTCGCTGTGGCTGCTCGAGGCGTTACTGGACAGGGTGTTGCTGCTGGAGTGGCTGGAGTACTGAGTCTCACCCTGCGGAGGACACAGAGTCAGAGGAGCTCAGCGAAAAGGCGAAAGGTGGAAAGAAGAGAGACGCAGTGTTGATGTTGAGTCTGACCTTCGAGTGTCTGTTTGGAGAGTCTTTCCCCGGGACATCCTGTCTGGGCATTCTCCTCTGCCCCCCTCCACCACCTGGTCCTCGAGACGCTGGGACATGCCAGAGAGGCTCTGCATCCAAACACACACATAGACAGACACTCTCAGGATTATAACAAATCACACTGAACGTCCACGGCTGTCAAAGAGGATTAAATACTTATAGCACATTTAAACACTGACCTCCCCCCACACACCAAAACCACACTCAGCAGCCTCTAGTCTGAGCAACAACTGCACTCTTTAAAGCAGCATGAAAACAACACATAAGAAGAGTACATATCTATAGAATAAATGGAAGTGAGAAATTCTGTAAAAACTGTAAAAAAAAAAAACCCACTACATTACATACAAAAAGGAAATGGGATGCTGAAGTACGCACAGAAATACCACCGGAAATATGCAGTGAAGCACATTCAGCAACAAGTTAAAATTCATGGAACTGAATAAATAAATTATAACTGAAAGTTATAATGTGGTACACAAGCTAGGACTCATTTGCACATACTCTGGATTTGTCCAAATTCAGACACATAATAATGTCTCTGATGCCCTCAAGAAGATATTTCGCCAAAATCTTGCAAAAGAGTCCAAGATCGCATTGCTCAGGGGTCAGCTAATAGATATCTTATACGACTACTATTGACAGCAGGAGTTAAAAGCACTATCAGCATATCAACCATATGATTGGATGTTTGGGAAATCTGATAGAATAACATACTACTTAGGGCTTCAGAAAGGCTTGTTTATCAGCAGATAGAGACCTATTTTTTAGGACATTTAAACAATAATGTGAGACTTTTAAAAGTCTCTGTTTAGACGTCAGCAATGAAAATATGTAGGGTGATGTTTAACGGCTTTTAAAAACCAAACCAATAAAAAACTCATTTTTTGCTCCTTATGAGATTTTACATTATATGTTACATAAGAGTAGACACATACAAGTGAGTTCAACATTTACTTCTGAAGGTGGTGCTGTACCTGTTTTGCTGCGCTCCATGGTACTCTCCTGACTGGTAAAGCCTGACGAAGATTCTCCACTGGAGAGGAGGTCCACACCGAGGTGAGGATCATACGGCAGCAGGGGGCGCTGTCCTGTTCCAAATCTATATGAACCACAGGAGAAACATTAGTGAACACATTCGCAGGGATTTTCCCGGTCCCTGGAGCTGCATATGTTTAAGGTGACGAGTCTGTTCTACCTTACTAAACAGAAGTCTGTGAATCCTCCTGCTGTTTCTGACCAAAATTGCATTTTGTGTTGCTCTGCTCTTTTAATCAGTCCTGATGTTATAATTGGTGGAAGGTCAAAACCCTTTTTCAAATAAAATAAGATGTACAGCTACTCAGACATCACGACAGAAAGGACACACTCTGGAATAAAACTCCCCAGCTGTAAAAATATAACGTTTCTGACTAACAGAGAACATTTCCAGCTTCTGCTTTGCATCCCTGTGGCGGTTGAATAAAACAAGTTTTTCTGGTTGGGTGAGATGTTATCAACCTCCACAGTGTGAGGAAGAGCCACCCACACAACAGATCCTTCCTCTGGGAGACTGTGTGTTCATACACGTCTAACTGCAGACCTGGTCGTGCCGCGCTATTCAGCCTGCGATTTGAACCAATATATTCCACCTTCAGCACACAAAGCATTTACGAGTAAAACCAGACATGTTTGATCAAGATCAAACGAGTGACAGTGGAGAGCTTGCAGAGTAAAACACCACACACCCACACACACCTGTCGGGTGAAGGTTTGTAGCGCACAAAGGGGCCCGGTGAGATTCCAGGTGGTCCCATCGTGGTGAGACTGACCAGGCCGGAGGGAGGAGAGGAGAAGCTGGCTGAGGGGTTTCTGTAGGGCCTGTCGCCTCCTGCAGGAGACAGGCTGTAGTGGTTCTCTGGGTAGCTGACCGGCCTGAAATACACAAAGGACGGTGGGTAATCGAGAGAAACAAGCGTACTACAGAGAGGTGATTAATACATAACACAAATAAGAGAGATTTAAAATAACTGAGGACTAGTGTGTCTGTGTGTCACTCAAAAGAGCAAAACAGACTGAAAACACAATGAAAACAGCTTAAAATGTGTTGTTTTAGACAAACACCTGGAACCAACTCAAGTTTAAAAAACTAGTATTGACAGTTTTTGGGGAAAAAAACTTCTTTAAGTGGAATAAAACCACACAAAGACTTTATTGTTTCCACTTTTTAGGTGGTTTACTATCAATACAAGTTTACGACCGTCTGGCAGGCTTATACGGTGCAGTAATCACACGAGTTAGCCTGAGGGCTTTTGTTACTTCACACATATCTGCCTCGGAAAACCCTGATGTGAAATGTTATATAGAAGGATTTCAGGAGCCGTGCACAGGAGTTCCATCATATTTATGGTTTTTGTATGAAGAAAACATCCTGATGACAGGACTAAGCAGGTTTTCTTGGAGCAGTCACAGTTCATGTTCGGTTTATCCATGATGTCATCCAGCTGACATCACTTTTCCTCAAACATTCATTCAGTGATTTAACATCAAATCTTTCATCAGACAACATAAACAAACTAAGACAAGGAGCTGCAGAACAACTGTTTAGTTAAAATGCAATAAAACATTTCATCTACAGCCACCTGTACAGCTGCAGCAGTTTTCTCCTCATCTCTATAATTAACTGTGTAAGATGATGACAGCTCCGTGATGTAAAACTGAAAATGCGACGAGGATTGAGGAGTTTGGACGAGGATACTATCTACTACAGGAAGCCTTTGTGAAGATGGCTCACTGCAATGCATATCACACTTTTACACCCATCATTAATTATTGCTTTAAGTCTTAATGAACAAATATCCTCATAGTATGCTGAAGAATGCTGACTGGATTCACTAACTTCATACAATACGCAGTTAAAGCTGAAGTAGGTGACAAGATTTTGTCATCACTGGACAAAGACATCCATAACAACCTTTTCGCATTCATTACTTAAAGGAAATTTGACTCCTGCACCTCCTCCAAGGTCTGTATGAGGCTTTAGAACATCTAGCCTAGAACAAAGACTTTGGCCACTCACTGAGCTTTTCAGGTGAAGAGTACAATGAGGGAAAAAAAGTCAAAGCAGCTGCTGTTGTCCCTTTTCTACATTTCTACACACTGCAGGCTTTAAACACTTTTTATACTTGCTTTTTTCCCCTTAAAATCTGAATTTTAATGGAGTGATAAATAAAGACTTGGTGCAAGTGGGGCAGCAGCACATGTGTAGAAGTGAGGCTCACCTCTTGGAGCTGAGGTGCTGAGGCTCTCTGTAGGGAACTGGCATCAGGGGCTTGTGTGAGCGTACTAGTGGAGGAGGTGGGGGGCCGATGGGGGCCCAGCGCTGCATGCTAGTGGGGTGGAGCACTTGAGGAACAGGTGAGTTCTCCCATCGCCAGGTCTGGCGAGGAGAGGGTCGGTATCCTGCTGCTAGAGGCTCAGGTTCTGGTTTCTGCTCCATGGTCTTCATCTCGTACTCCTCGGTGCAGCCCCTACAGAGACAGAGGAGGACAGTTTATAACGGTACAGAGACACCACATCCACTACAAGAGAATTAAAAGCATGACACTTAAAATGCTGCTGTTTCCCTCCAAAACTCCAAGGTTATCTCCTTTACACAGCCTTCATGTGTAGTTTTTGATCCTCAGCACGGGTCAGTAAATGCAGCAGCCCTGAACTGTAGCTGAACCAGAACAGCGGTTTCTGTACCGAGTTCAGTGCGTGGAAACTGCTCAATAAATCTCCCCCAAATGCTCCACATTATTGTCGTCTCATAACTTACTTTGTGGATGCTCAAACACACTGCAGACATGTAACAGAGCTCACTAATGAGCTCCCCTGACGCCAATGGAGGGAGAAAGAGAGCAAAGTAAACCGATTATTGGCACATCAGGACTCCATCTCTCCTACTGCGAGACTGAGGTCAAGTGTGTGTGTCTGTGTATATGTGTGTGAGAGAGAAATATCCAATCTCATCAAACAGCTCCTGAATCAGAGTCTTGGTAGACACAGCAGATATGTTTAGTAAAGGCACGCAAGGTTGCCTTGGTTGTACAATCACGCATCAAATAATTATGAATCTGTTTTTAAAACAAAGATCACACAGATATTCACTCTTTCAGCTCCCTCTGACTAAATAAATAAAAACAGCATGTAAGTAGCCCAGCACATGTCTTTTACACATCATCATCATTACTCCATTCACAAAGCCTCACTGAGGGAGGGAAGGAGGCATCAAATATGCATACTGGATGGCATTTAACATGAGACTAATGAAGAGAGGAGGAAATGAGCAGGAAAATGCTGTGAGGGTGAGGATTTAAAGTGAGGCAGAGTGGGATAAAGGCCATGAGGACAGAGTGTGTGTAGTATAAACTTTCATTATTAAACAATACGCATGTGGCGTATTAAGGCAATAATGCTGTTACCTTGTCTGACGTAAGTCTATTAATTTTCAGTTATTTACGTTTAATGGATGAATAAAAGTGTCTGTTATGCTTGGATAAATTAGACCCCAATGATAAATTCACCACAGCATCAGAGGGGGGAGTGCATTTTTGTTTTGGGGGTGGTTATAAAGTCTTTGGGGGCACCAAAAGTTCCTGTAAGCAGCAGAACAAAAATAAAGTCAGAACAAAGAAGTCCATTATAGTTTCCCCAAACATGTTTTTGCTTAAAATTGGCTTCAACGATGAATCAAATGTTTGTTTTTAGCACACATGTTAGCAGAATATCTGTGAGGCTCCTCAAAGTGCTGCTTGGACAAAACATTTCAAGATGTCATCGTGTGCTTTGGGAAACTGTGCAGGGGATACATGTTTCTTTTATACAGTGTGATTATTCATTTAACCTTGAAAATAATCAGCTGACTAATCCACAGTGAAAACACGCTGCAGCCATGTCCACGGTAAAACACAAACACAACACAGACGTCCTCAAAAACACCACCAGCTGATTTCAAATGACATGTGCATTAAACCAAAAGACACACAAGTCGATGCACATGTGGTCGGGATATTTTCATCAACAACGGAATGAGTCAAATCCAATCAGTATCAATACGGTTACATAACAGCAGCGCGGGCTAACACAAACGCAGGAAGAGAGCACAAACCTTAGAGAGAGCAGAGCCTCAATCTGCCGGCATTCAGTGTTCCTCCCATCACGCTGGCTGATGTGACACAGCTGGAGCTCGTGCACGCACGCACGCACTCGTGCACGCACACAGTCAAATACACAGTGCCAGAAGTCACACCTTCTCCCCGTCGTATCTGTCCATCTTGCACGTTCAGAGCCGAGAAAGAACGGCAAAGAAAAAGCCCTTCCAACTTTGGTCTCTCTCTCTCTTTTCTTTCTTTTTCTCTTCCACCCACTGCTCTAACTCTCGGCGGTGTTGAGACACGTCCTCCTCACCCAGCGCTTCTCTGCCTCTCCTGCTCATAACACTCAACCCTGCCTCCCTCTCTCTCTCTCTCTTTCGCTCTCTCCCTCCCTCCCTCTTTTCCTGTCCTTTTCATTCGCACAGGGCGTGCATTTTTAATTAATCACTTCCACTCCTTTATTTATTTATTTATATTTTTTGTGGACCTTTTTTCTCCTGCAGATTCCAGGCTTTAATCTCATGCAATCTGCTTGCCTGGCACACAACAGCAAATGAGTCGGATGGGGAGAGAGAGAGGAAGAATGAAATACAAGACTCTAATTATCAGTTGCTCCAATGCCACAGTACCATGTGTGTGTTTGTGCATGTGTGTGTGTCAAAGGGATTTAAGTTGGCGTAATTAAACTGCCTCCAGCATTAAAGAAATCTAACCACTGTGCGATCACACAGCCTGACACAATTACTGTATTTAGGAGCTCTGGTTCTCGGTCACAAGTGTGCGCGCACACACACACGGTTATTTTTTCACCTCAGTAACACCACATCAGCGTCTCATAAGGTCTCGTTATTCTGTCTCAATCAAGGCCTCGTGTGTGGATGAAAGGATGGAAAAGGGTGACGGCAGGGAAAAGATATAAATGATGTGGAGGAGAGGAAGTGACACAATAGCAGAGATGAGCAGATATGAAGAAGAAAGGAAGGCGGATTGTAGCTAATTCACGTTAAACAAATGCTTCTTTCTTTTTGTCTGTGTGCCTCATTTCGCCCGCTTCCTTTTCAGCCACGCATCTTTCTTTCTCTCTGTTTGCTCGCTTCCTCTTTTCACACACTCCCACACAGAATCATCAGAACATTGGGGTCTGGCCACTATCTCTGCCAGGCTTTTGTGTGTTTGGAGTAATGAGTGTCCTGCGCTCTCTTCTAGCTCGCTCTTGTCCTTCCACTTCTGCCCACTTACACTGAGCGCGCTCCTGTGCTGTAACCCACTGTCCAAACATCTGCATTCATGACAGCTGTTTACAAATGAAGCTCGAAAGGATTCAAAGGAAACCACACGCAGACTGCCACGCACCTACGAGGCCCGCCTTCTTCGTATGGAGGAATGATGATAACTTTGACTGTCACCGATGTCCTCAACAGGTCAATCATCTGCTCGTGCGTCAGCGTCACTGCAGCCACCTTACAGATCTCCACTAACCGGCTACCCTGCCTCAGGCCTGCCTGCCAGGCGAAGCCGTACTCCTCCACCTGGATGAAAAACAAAACAAAAGCAGAGCATTTATGCGCGGCCAAGAATCTTCAGAGTGCTTCAAAATTAGATCTGGTCATCTGATGGTACCTCAGCTACGGTGCCATCCAAGCGAACGTGGAAGCCCAGCTGTCCCAGTCCATTTCTCCTTAGTGTCATATCCACAGTTTCACATCCCACTGTCAACAACTACACAAACAGAAGGAAAAAAAAATCATATCAGATTTACAGTATTAGCTTGTTATATATATGGACTAACAAACTAAAGATCATCATAGCAAAGTAACAACCAGGTGATGATGACTTCTTACCCAGCACTGGGTCAACTTTTCAGTCTCAACTCTGCATGTATTTGGTGCTTTTAGTAAGATTAACTCATTTTTAAATATTTCATTTTCTGCTGGATTAACTCAAAGCTTGATCGAGTCCAGGAAATCTCCTCTTCCCAGCGTTTAATTCATCACTTTTTTCAGAGATTATCACAATTTGAAAGGCCTCAGATGAGCCAGTGCAGACAGTGGCATAGCTTCATTGAAAAAGGAAGACAACCACAAAAACATAAAGCAAAAAAAAACAAAACACAGAATACAGTGTGAATGTTGACACAATGACTTGCCTTTGAATTTAGTTTTTCAGTGGAATGAAAACCAACATCCACTGTGGAAATCCCCTGAGCTTAAAGGAGTATAAAAGAATGAAGGTGTTGCACTGATTTGGTCTAATAAACTTCAATAACCACATGAAACATTTCTGACTACAGGAAGCTCTAAAGAATAATTTTGTGCAAGCAGTATGTCTTGTTTGCACTAGACATACAGGGGCACAAATCCAAACAGATGAGGAAAGTTTCATGTTATTTTACTCTAAGAGTTGGTGAGAAAGCAACAAAGCAATAAAAAAAAACAACACACACACCAAAGGATGTAAAGAAAACTACAGGCTGGAGAACAAGGAAGTAAACAAGACATGACACAACTGTGTTTGCACTGTAGTCTTTCTACAAGATCTGCTTACAGCACAGCCTGCATGACCCCAAATCCCAAGATCAAGTCTTTGCTCCAAGGTCTCACCTTTAACCTCTGCACCATCTCCCTGATGTCCTGTGCACCTCCCTCTGGCACTCGAACTGCAATGTGGTCTCCTCTGCCGTAGAAGATCTTCAGTGCCAGCCGCTCCGGCGTCCAGCCGATCACGTCTGCACAGAAACAGTTGAACACCACCTCTTTGGTGGAGCAGTCTATGAGGACGATGTATTCAGCCGACACACCCAAGGCACAGGGGAGTTCTGCTCCCCCTCCTCCGCTAAAGTCCTGGGCCTGGACTCTCCAGGCGACCGCCCCGGCAGCACCCAGCTCCGCTCCCTCTCTCGCCTTCGTGCGCTCCCGTTTCTTAGATGCGAGGGAGATGAGGTTGTTTAATTTGCCGGCTGAATCCAGCGGCGTGCTGCTGACATAGTTCTCGGCCAAGTCGCGCAGGTACTCCTGCCGTGTTCGCGTCGCCATGGTGTGGAACTTCTCAGACTTGTGTGCTGCGTTTTCTGCGTTGATGACTTTGGCGAGAAGGAAGTTACGAAAGGTCTCTGGGTCCCGGAAGGTGACGCCGCTGGGGATGGGTGGTCCAAAGGGGGGCACATCCTTCATTCGCGTCACGGCAACACTGAGAGGCGGGAACAGTATTGGAAGGGAGATCCTAATTAATAACGTGCACCACGTGTATAGAAACATGAGTTTGTGCTGATGTAAACATTTACCTGTAATAGGTGTTTTCAGAGCAGGGGTTGTGAACACGAACAATAACAAAAACGTGCTGGAAGTGTGAACGAATATTTTGCGGGGTGAAGGGCAGCGCTCCGGGCTCCTGAAAGATGATGGTGACAATATCGTTCCCTATGTGCCTCTTTCTCAGGAGCTGAGCAGGAGAGAAGACATAAAAACGATAAATTAATAAAAACGAGCGAGCGTAATTGGCATTCACACGACTGACTCAGTGAACGACAGAATGTCCGACAGGGGAAAAGAGAGATTAAGACACTCGCTGTTAGACACCAAGCAACAGCTCTTTACGTAATTTGTTTTGCGGGTTCTGTGTGGGCTATTTGTGTCTGTGTGTGTGCGTTAGCTTGTCTGTCTATCTGCGTTTATGTAGGAGACGTGGCACACAGTGCAGGCTGTGTCTGTGGTGCGGTGCTTGCCAATCTGCTCTTCATCTGCAAAGAGAAGTGTGAAAATACCAATTATGTAATGCAGCCCACTGTTTGGCTCCTGTGCAGTACCACAGGAGCATCCTTCACTCGTACCCAGGCTGCTGTGTGAATATTTGAATTGCACTTCATGTTTTTTTTACAGTAGCATGAAAATCTGGGCTATTTGGGGCCTCTTATGTATTAGCATATCATCATTTTCTATTTCAGCGTTTTGAATGTGACCCTTCATATGCATGATTCACCTGTTATTTACAGCAAATTTCTTCATTGTTCATTTAACCCAAGAACAGTTGTGCAGGTGAAGTTAGTGTTCTCCTTTATCCTGAATTCAGGAGTCATCACAGCAGCTTATGTTTCAACCTTCTTTTGCTTCTCCAGTCACTGAGGGTTATTTTTGCAGTGAGATGATGCCATCTAGAGGTTCAACTGAGTAAGTAAACCTCCTTGCTGTTGCAGCCCCTAAAGCCTCTGGATGGAGTTATTGTGCTGTTATAAACACCTGACACCAACACTCAGCTGTTCGAACATTTCAACGATTTCACATTTTCTCATGTTACTAAAAGATGAGGAGATTATCAAAAAGCTTTTTCTATAATAAATAACTGATTGCTGGTATGGATATGGCAACAGTGAAGTTTAATTAACAAGATTAATGTATGTTTAATGACACCTCTTTGGCCTAAACTGCTCTGCTCTGACATACTGACACATTCAAAAGTGTGCACTAATCCCGAGCACCTGCAGGCACATGTGCACACTCGAGACAGGCTCTTACGCAAATACTCAGGCAAACTGTAAAAAATACCAACATGCTGAATTTTACACACTCTTGAGCGACACCAGCACATGCTGGGAACGCACAGCATCCAGAAGATCATGCAAGAAGAAAAATTTAGTCAAATTTAAAAAAAAAAAAAAGATAGAGAGGGAAAGTAAGAGGAAGAAAATATACTAATAACTACACTGCTGAACCCCACCCAACTCTGATCCAGACAAACAATGAAAGAAGAGACAGCCAGAAAGGAAAGAAATACCAAGACACAGAAAACAAAGACTATAAAAACACAAGAGGCTGAATAAAAACAAAAAATTCCAAATGAAGAGGTCGACAAAAGTCACAAGTTTCCACTTCATGAATTCTTGCCGTCGTTTACGAGCCAGAGGAAAAAATAGCAGAAGAAGCCTCAGCTAACAAACACAGACGTGCTTTCAAAGGCTGTGTGACAACAAAGCATCGACTTGGATGTTTTTTTTTTCTTTAGAGACGTACACCAGTGTTGGTGCTTTACTTAGGTGGGGCTGTTACCTGCTGTGGGTTGCTGGGCATGTATGGCAGCATGGTGGACACGTGGAACATTATCTCATAGCCCTGGTAGGTGGTGTACAGGGAGTGGGTGCCCGTAGAGTCCGCTGGAGGAAAGATATTTGTTGAAAGTCAGCAGCTGTTGACCACACATTAGTCAAAGTTTCTGATGATGCATTCACTGTGTAACCCCCGGTTTTATGACACATATGCAACATTACTGACTGATGAGTCTGTTAAATGTAGTGAATTCATGAAAACTAAAGATGCTGCAGGAGTTACTGTGTAAACATTCTTTATGGCTTTATCGAGACAAGTGAGTGTCTTTATGAAGAACATCCTTTAAAACCTAAAATACTCATTTCACAGTTTATTTGCATTTTTCTTTTGAGAATAGGAAACAGTAATGAAATGATACATTGAAACCACTTCTTCAGCAATGAGACCAACATGTAAAAATATGATTTCTAAAAGCGGATGCTATGCTGCAGAGCGTTCTTACTCTTGGTGTCGAGCTGTGCAGCGTATTTGGTGAATCCTTTGAGAAGCACCTGCTCCCCGAGCAGCTCCAGGAAGGCAGAGAAGGCGGGCGATGCCTCCTCGTTGTTGTACATCTCCTCCTCTGTGCTCTGCCCTGCACGGCACAGCAGAACACCCACCTTGTGCTTCTGACTTAACTACAAGGCAGAAGAGACACGATGTTAATATTACACAAGCAGAACAAGCACGAGCAGCTGAGAGACCACACACACAAACACAGCTGAAACACAGCACTCTGAAGGTTAATGCCAACAAACAAGCTTTTAACCCAAAAGTAACGTATATCTGGACTTGTTTACACACAGCTTTGTTGATCTATAAACCACCTGCACAAACAACCCAACAGCTCAGTTGTTGGCAAAATACCTCCACCCTACACTTCTCCCTCCATTAAATGAAAGGTGAGATAACATGGCCAAACATTACAGCTTGTATGGTTACTCACTCATGCTCAAACGTACCACACCCTTTTTCTTACAGCTTTCCCTGTACAACACTGCACTTTGCACCAGCACTAAATCAGTTACCCAAGTCTCACACACTACCTGAGAACACCACGTGCCACAGCTTCCCCTTATTAGTGTACAATTTTACTCTGCAGTCTTCCAGCTTGCTGGAACAGCTGTTCGGTGCACTCAGTGCACCGTAAACTCACCCCCTGTTCATCCAGTTTAAGGAGCTGCTCTGTGACTTTGGCCGTGCTGAGCGCCAGTCTCAGACAGGACACGTTGAGTTCGGGGACGACCTGTTCCAGGACCTCTTTGAGTGGCAGACCCCGAACGGTGCCATGCTTCCCCGTAGACGCCACTGCATCTTCTAAAATGGAGCCGCGCAGCGTCACCAGCTGTGGGTTCAGAACAACATTAGTTTAAAAAACAAAACAAACTGGAAGCAATTTGAGCTTCCTACATAACAAATATTATTCAAGTGTCATGGTTGAAATGTCAAGAAAATTTATATTCCGCCCCCCAAAGGTGTTACAGTGAATATAACCTCATGATGTGGGAAACAACAGATCAGTGTGATTATAGTAACCAGCCTTGCTAATGATGTGATGATGTGCATCGTTCTTGTTTGTGATAAAACCACTGGATTTATTGCTGTTGTTTTGATTTTTTTAACCCATCGATAAATTTAAATAGTTAAGCAGTAAATTTCTTTTTGCATGGTCTTAAAGTTTAATGCTTTCTGCTGTTTAGTGTTTTTCCTTTAAGGGCTCAAGTTTTAGATTTTTGGTTGGACATTTATGTTGTACACCTTAAACATAAATAAAAAAAATATTTAGATTAAGTAATAATAAGAACAGTCTTAGTTTTTAAATTCTTATTTTTTGGATTTATTTCTTGTTCCTTTTTTTCTTTGTTGACATAAAACTTCTGAAGTGAATTGAACTTTAGTGTATCAGACATATTGGCTTTGTGGGTTGGGTATTTATGAAATAATAAAGCAGCATTGCCGTAAAAAAGTAACAATAATGTTGATGTTGAACTCTACTGAGAGAGGTCAGAGGTCGCTGTACTACACTTTTGAGAAAAAGGGGTTTGGATGATTCACAGTATGGGAGTCTGAAGCAGGTCGGTCCATCAGATCACATTAATGGCGCCCTGCTGCCCTGAAGCATCTTCCTGTTTGTCAAACACGCACGCAGTGACAGGCGTCTGCATGGAGGCTTTAAGTTCAGCGGTGTTGTGAATCAAGATTCTGCTCAGTATTGTGCTGCTTCCTGATCAGGGGGAACTGACCTGCTTCAAAACAGTTAGACTATAATAACCTCTGGGAGGAGTGGGCTGCTGCTTCTCACTTGCAGACTGATTAAAAATGTATGGCGGTCTCTGGAGCTGGCAGAGGCCGGAGAGACAGCTGAACCTCAGCGACTCGGGTCTGCCGCAAGGAAATGAAGCCCGACCGACCCACGGCTGAAGTTACGCAGATATCGTTTCAACTCGTCAGCCTGTGAGCAAGGCCGAACGAGTGACTGCGACGTGCTGAGCAGAAATATCAGAGGGGGGGGGGCTGTTTGAATGTGTGACAGAGGAGAAAGAGGAAGTCTCCCCACCTTGCTGTGTCAGCACAGAATTAAATGACAGGCTTAGGGGGATGGATATTTGAGAGCGGCTGTGGCTTGAGTGGGAGAGAATAAAGTCCGCAATCAATCTCCTTTTTTCTCTGTGTGGGAACAGTGGGCCTGGACTGTGTCTGTTAGCTTAGCTCTGTGTACTTAGATGGTGGAGAGGCTCCATTGTTATACCAGAGCTACAGTGATGAGGCCAGGCAGCCATGTAATCCTGCTAAAAACAACACAGCACAGCCACAAAGAAGGACACACTCAGGCTAAGACTGCATTAACACAATGAGGAGAGGCGAGCTTGTTGTTCGAGCGGTCTTTATGATGCTAAACCGGTAAAATATATTGATTGAGATTAAGCCAATTACTTCACAAGACCTCTGACACAAACTGTGCTGTGTTATCATTTTAAATGCCAACCATGCACAAAATAAAAAAAAAAAAAACCCCCATAAGACTGAGCTGAGCAGAAAGTGAGGTCTAAGTGGTGTGAACACTAGCACTAACTATTAATTTCCAGAATTTTCATCCATTTTCCAACAGCTTATCCCACATGTCATAGGATGAGAGGCAGGATACACCCTGGACACGCTGCAGGGCTAACACAGAGAAAGAACCATTCACACCTTCAGATAATTTAGAATTGGTAGCCCCGCATCGAGATAGTCTCCAACTATTTCAGTTACAGTAAACTTAATGTCTTTCAGTTTTGGACTGTTAGTCAAACTACAAGAGTCATTCTACTTGACTTCGGTAAACTGAGATGGACAATTTACATTAATTAGTAGGAAAATAATCATCAGTTGTGTCTCTGAACAAAGATGTCTTTCCAAAATTGTGTCTTGGAAACTGTGGAAGTAAAACCTCTGAAAAAAACCAAGAATGGATGCAGAGAATCTGAAAACTAATTCTCTACAATAATCAGCCCATCATTTACCACATCATGAGTGTCTGATCCATCAAAGAGGAGAAGTAGCTGGCTGTGGGAGCAGCCCGTGTTTGGTTTGGCTTTAATGTGCTTGGACTGAGCAGGTGGAATTTTCCACTGACAGAGAGCAGAAGAGGGATGAGCAGAGGGGCGAGGGGACAGAGGGAAGGTTATAATGAGGGCACGTGTCACAGGTAGGCCTGGAGAAACTGAAAGCAGTTGAGTAATTAACAGACTGACTGGAAACCCCCATGATCAGCATATAAACACATAAACACACACACGCATACCTCGCTCGTCCTGACGATGAGTCGGTACTGATACTGGTCTTTCAGGTCTTTGGTGTCTTCCAGTTTCTCTCTGCGGATGCTCAAGGCCACAGGGCCCAGCTTATCGTCTGTCCCGAAGTAGTTTGAGAGCTCTGGAGGAGGTCAGAGACAACCAAGGTTAAAGTCTGAGAAGCAGAGAAAGTTCTGTGTCTGAACATGTGCCTGTGTTGTGTCTACACCTCAGTGTGCCAGCAGACAGGCGATCAGATGAGTTTTCCAATAATAAAAGAAGAAGCAGCAGCCAAAAAAATGCTATCAGTGATGAGTCGAGCATCGGAAATGTAATCTTCATCTACTTCCACATCGTTTCCAGATTCTCTCTAACTGCTTAATCCTTGAATGAGAGTAAACTGACCAGCTTTATGTTTTGGAGTGTTTTTGGAGCCATAAAATCAGATAACAACCACCTTTTTGTTTGCCCTGGAAAACTGATGAATTTATTAAAATCCTGTTTAAGGTAATCCTGTTTAAGAAAGGACTCTATGAACTGTACGCATTAATTTATTTTTAATTATTTTACCTCGAAGGCAAACTCTAGAGATCAACAATCTCTTTTATGAGAGGCTCCTGGGTGCAGATAGTGATCTTTAACCTGCATGATGGCAGAAGAAACCGAAACTCTGAGAGAAAACCCACGCACACACAGTGAGAACAAACTCCAAACGCTAATATGAGGCACAGCACAGTCTACAGACCCACCATGCTGCTTCCCTATTTAAAAATAAATAACACGTTTTAATTACAGTAGCTGCACAGAGAGAAATTATCTAGGCAACATACCTCACAATGATTTAAATCAGTAATATCAACATGACTACATGTATAATGAGCACAAAGCAGCAGAAGTGGCTACAGAAATGTGTTGAGGTTCACAACATGACTGAGAAGGAGAGTAAGCAGCACATATAACACACTGGCTCTCAAATTATTCTGTCATGTCCCACTTGACAGGATGAAAAAGTTCACAAGCACTGAACTGATACATAAGAAATGAGATGAATGGGAAAGAACTTGACTTACAGAGACTGTCTGGATGTTGTGTAATTCATGTGTACTTAGCAGGCCTGACAGATGAGGCAGCATGACCTTTAGAATGAGACCATTAAAAGGAGAAATATGTCCTCAGCCTTGTAACTCAAGGAAGTGAATAAAATGTAATGTCCACAGCAGTCAATTAGCATTGTCGGCACAACACGTTCATCTATTAAAGGGGCCGAGACAGAGTTATCGCCACACTATACTAGCATCTTGCCGATATTCCTCTAAAGCTCATAAGCTGAGCCATGCTAATTCCAGTGCTGCAGGCATTATGGAAAGAAACACAAATTCTCCAGAACTGTGAGGAGGAATCCAGTTTGACAAGTACTCCTCCTCCATCCCACCGCTGGAGTGAACGGGGATGATGGGCACGTTAGGAGACTCGGGCCTGATCAGCTTCTACGCCACGTCCTGTGGTGCAAATGTCAGCTTTTTGATGAGGCTTTCTGACGTGCACACGCACACAATCTCTGCAGCGTTTTGGGGGACAGCTAAGCTGGAAACAAGTCAGCAGATGAACATATTTTTGGAATGATAACCTTTATCTGTGTGGCTGCAGGCCTGCCTCTGTCTCTCTCTCTCGCTCACACACACACACACACGTGCGGCTAACAGCATCTGTCACTAATTAGGCTTCAGCCAGACGATGCACGCCAGAGGGAAGTTTCATCAACAGTGTCAGAAGAGGTGATGCTGACAAGAAATGCCCAATGACAAGCTCACACAAACCGCCTCCTCTGAAAATTGGTGTGACATTTGACCTTTAACAACAGATCTAAAACAACTGTTGTTAAGTGCTCCTCCCGACCTGCAGAAAGGGAGGTGGCGTATCATCAGGTCAGAGTTTGCCAGCAGAACAGACAGGTACACGTGTAAGAAAAACTGTGGGAGGTTGGCCAGCTCAGCGCTGGGGCCCAGCTGGATATAAAGAGCTGCAGGATGAGATGTGAGAAACTCTGAATGGACAAACAACATCGTCACAATCTAACTCCAACGGATGACAGCAAGAGGCACAAATTGGATTATAAAGGAAGATCATTACGTCAGTATTGTTGAGCTCTCAGTAGTGATTAACACCAGTGGGCGGACATCATCCGACAAGATGAAGAAATTTGACTACTTTTAAAGACTTATTAGTCACTTAGAAAAGAGAAAGAAAAAGCAGAGCAAGTGTTTCTTGTTTCAGAAACTACATCTGGACACATATAAGCAGTAATCAAAAACAAGAATGAAAAACATTGGGTTTCAATGTGGAAAACGTATGTCTGTAAATCTGTTCCACGGTTTAAAAAAAATCTGTTAGCATCTAGCATCTAGTTTTATAGTGCTCACTTTCAGGGTACTTAGATTTTAAAACATAAAGATAATTTATACAATTTTATTACTGAGACTGAATGTTTATGAAGTATAACTGTTGTGTCTTTCAATCAGATTAATGGCTCTCATGAGTGAGAAGTGATTTCTGTTGTCTCGGTTACTAGAAACTCATCAAAGATAGAACATCCTAACATGTCGCATCTTGTTCTTGTTTCATGTTCTTTGTAAGTCAATTTTCATCGCTGTGTTTGCCGGAGGTAAGCGTACCATGCTAAATGTGTCAGAAACTGAGCCCTACCCTTTTCTTATTAACTCAAGAGACTCTTGGAAATGAAAACTTCTGGTGATTATGACATGAACACAGCTGGCAGTTAGATCAAAGAGTATTTATAGCATTGACAGTGGAAGTGATGGCTCTGCAGCAGAGTGAGTGTGTTAACTGTGTATGACTCAGTGCTACCTTTTCCATGGAAGTAGTCTCTGTAGTACCTAGCGCCCAGGTCTACATGCTCTATGCTGTACAGTTTCAGTCTTTCCAGTCTTGTAGCCTGCTCTTCAGTGGCCACCTCCACCACTGACACGCTGGCGTTACTCTTCCTCAGCCATCCCCTCCCCCCGTCCCCTCCTCCTCCATCTCCTCCTCGTTCTAATGACGAGCTGAGGAAGCTGATGTTGCGCTCTCCGTGGCCTCCGGTTTCATTGAGGAAGTGTGGGCAGGAGAGGAGAAGTGGACTGGAGCTCTGGGCTCCAGCGCCATCTAGAGGGTCCACACCCAGTGAGGGTGTGGTGGAGCCCTGGTCGAGGCTCAGAGTCAGATCCTCGATGCTGGAGTAAATGGGGTCGTTTACACTCGCTGAGGATCTGGAGACTGACAGAGACACTGAGGCTGCTGATGCTCCCGTGGCCGTGTTTCTCCTCTGCGTGACAAAGCCACGCTGAGCCGCTGCCTCGTGGAGGTCAAACTGGATGCTCTGAGCGTCAAAGTGGACAAAGCTTTTTGGACACACCCACGATTTAAAGGAGGAATTGATGGCAGCTCGTGTTCCCCTGTCCTCAACAGTTTCTCCTTTCCCTCCATCCAGCTCCCCTCTATTGGAGCTCCGAAGTTTCCGAAACAAAGAGGAGGTGCCCAGCGACGACTCTGTCCCTCCACTTTTCTTTCTCACTCTCTCAGTGCCGTCTTTCCTTCCTGTCTCTCTGTCTTCCACACCTGTGGGACCAGGTGAGGGCGCTGAGGGGAGAGGTCCAGGTGGCGAGTCTGGAGCACGCAGCAGCTCGCCGATTTGTATGGGTGCAGAGCTGCGCTGGTCAGGCCTCTCCTGGCGGAACTGGCTGATCATGTCAAAGAAGCTCTGGTCAGGGATGCCTTGGATGTCGATGGAGGAGGTGCTACCGTATTCCCTGAACCGGTTCCCCAATCCGCCATCTCCTCGAGCCTCCACCTTTATGCAAGAAGAGGAGACAATTTCAATGTGTGATTAGGGCTGCCACGATTAGTCGACTAGTCACGATTACGTCGACTATCAAAATCGTCGACGACTGATTTAATAGTCGACGCGTCGTTTGAAGCTTTGTAAGATCACAAAAGATGCAGGAATGAGTAGCAGGATTTAAGAGTGTAATAACGGACTGAAACAGAAGATGGCAGCACTGCATGTACAACGATGCCAGCTGCCGTTAAACCCCGAAGAAGAAGCTGTGTCCCAGAATTCATAGCGCGGCCCTGCTCAGTTTCCAACAATGGCGGCAGCTAGTTAGTTTTAATGTTACTCTTATTATTCTTTCTGGGTCACAAAATACACGTTTAACATATTTTTAGGTGAGAATGTAGCTGTGGAAACCTCAAATATCTGCTCAGTTTATCAAGACACCACATATTTTCAAAAGCGCTCTGACGTTTTCGGAGACGTCTGTTACCCACTAGCTCGATAGCTAGCCGGGGGCAAGGTCACTAGAGCTGTGAGAACACCGGACTCCCGGCAAATCGTTTTCAAACCCACCGCCGTCTTTCGCTACTCAGGTTAAACATGATATATGAGTCACTTAGATAACTTAAAAATGTTATTGTTTGGCTTTTTTAGTATTTTATTTGTTCCTGAGTAAATCAGTTTGTCTGAGATTAAAGTTATAGTTTTTGCACAGCTGAATAAACGTCAAGCAGACAGCTGATTATCAGAAGTGTGAGATGCTGGAGAATATACTCCGGTGTCCTGTTATATTTTAGATAGCAAGGAGTTTATTAAACTTCACCGAAACAATCTGCAAATTTCATTAAAATTTAATAAACTATCATCTTTTCTTTATTTTTAGTTAGCACATACCTTAAACACTTAAAGCTGTAAGCTAATAATAGTTATATAAGAGCAGATGCTGATGGTGCAATAAGCTGTACGTTTTACGTCCAATGGATCTGATTAGTCGACTAATCGCAAAAATAATCGGTGACTAGTCGACTATCAAAATAATCGTTTGTGGCAGCCCTATGTGTGATAACAGCTCAGTGGTTAGAACATCAGCCTTTTATCGATCTAGGAGCAGATTTTAGACAAATCTGAAAGCTGTCAATCAAACCAGTCACACAGAGAGCTCCTCAAATAAAAAAAATAAAAAATCTATAAAAAAGAAATATCAGTGCTTCAATGAAACAAGAATAAAGGCTGAACAATGTCTAGATTTCTTATACTGCGGATTTTATAATTAAGTTACAATTAACAGTTTGGTATACATTGTTAAAAAGCCAAGTGAATCCGTAATAATAATAATAATAATGGATTGGATTTATATAGCGCTTTTCAAGGCACCCAAAGCACTTTACAATGCCACTATTCATTCACTCTCGCATTCACACACTGGTGGAGGCAAGCTACGGTTGTAGCCACAGCTGCCCTGGGGCAGACCGTAGTACATTTTGGACTGACAGAGAGTAATTTAAAGACCTCACTCTAACGTGTGGTTCGCGTTTTAGTTTCTGTCAGTTTACTTAAATCCTGGCAACCTGCCAGAACCTACACAGACATATTCTTAAGATGTCTTTATCAGATGTCTGATTTCTTCTGCAGGTGGCCTGGAGGTAAGGGAACAGCCAAAAACATCTGCAACAATCTCATTAGGTTAGCATGTCAACCCATACTAACTACAGCTGAAAATAAATAAACCTGCACAACAACAACATCATGAACTCACAGAGCAAGTGACATGAAAATGTAAAACTTCACTTCATTAATCACATTAAAGTAAAGCAGGACAGAATTTTAAAACCGCAGATATGTGATTTCAGCATAGCTTGAAAAGTTAATACCATTAAATCCGCCTGTCAAAGCTTGATAAACTATTTGTTTAAATGTTAATGGAAGATCATCTGTAACCGCAGACATGTGCCACAGCATCTGTGATAACAGAAAGGAGTTTAGACTAAACACGCAGTAACAACATTTTAAGTTTTTAAAGTTTTCTTGGACGGTGTAAATATGTCCACAGAGCAGATTGCAGAGCTGTATCACCTGCATTCATTCACTGGTGTTTGTGGATGTCAGTCATTGTGAAGTCATGCATTGTAAAGTTGGTTTGTTTGAGTCATTTAACTCAATCTGGACTACTGCTAAAAGGAAAACAATTAATCCAGTTAGGACCTACACGTGTAAAAGAGGCACTAGAGGGAGATTTCACACTCACCTCATTTTCATCTTGTTCGCTCAGCGTCACTTCACTGTTGGAGCGCTTTCTCAAAGGTGGGAACACTCTCAGGCTGAAAGGAGAACTTCTCTCACCGCCAAACTCTCCTACATCCTTGGACCTCCGCCGGGGCAACCTGGCGACTCCTCCCCGCACCAGCCTGAAGTCAGACAAAACTGATAAAACTGAACCGTCATCGCCGTAGTGATTGCCGCCAATCTGCCCATTCTCGAGCAGCGACTCCCGGGACTGAGCACGGCGTGGAGGCCATTCTGCGATCCGTGCACGGACACCCATTTTGGGCACAGAGATGCGTGGTTGGATGACCGGGTCAGAGGGACCTAGCGCCGGGTGCCCATTAGGGGTGTGACGAAATGGAGTGTGCTGGGGCAACCCTCCTCCGCCTCCATCGAGAAGGTCTGAGGAGGTGCAAGTTACCCCTCTGTCTCTGTAACTATTCATGACACCCCAGGAGAGCTCAGGGCAGGGGGGCAGGGGGCTGGCATCCCATATTGGGAGGGGTGCTGGGGAAGGTGCTGTTACGACCTCCAGCTCCCAAAAACATTGCTTTTAACAGGGAGGGTGGGAAAGACTTCACTGGTCCATCCAATCTGGAACCAGGCCGTCCTCCTCTTCTTCTTGTGCTTCTTTCTTGGATGATGTCTGATGCAGATCTGAGAGGAGAAACAACAACAGGCATACAATCAGGAAAAATATTAAGACAAAGACAAATGTGCCTTAAAATACACTGATTTTTAAATCATAAAGCCTGTGTGACCCATATTTTTTCCACAGAGTCAAAACTCAGAGTCTCTACACTGTAAAACAACGTAGGACTGATAAACCAGAGTGAGAGAGAAAATAAGGTGAGGGGATATGACAGAGGATTTCTCCCATCCAGGCTAATCTTCAGGAGGCTGACAAGGGATATTATTATCACATATGGCGCGCACACACAGAAAGCCGCACACCCACAGGACACGAAGGCTGCAGCCGCTCCGCTGCAGATTAAAACCTCAGAAACACTAGCTAATTTTATCAGACAAGAAAGTAATACAAATCCAAACAGGGAGAGTGCACAGACAGTTTAAATACACTGAAGCATTTTCCCACTGCATAGATTACAGCAGGGCTCAAAAATGATCTTTGAGGGAGGGGGCGACTGCCCACATAAACACAAAAATCTATGCATTCTTTTCTTATTCTGGGCCATTTGATGATTGTTTTGTATTTTAAGCATGAGTAAATGAAACCCCCCAATTTTTTTATATACCAAAAAAACAAAAGCGTCCTATATTTGTGTTCGCTGTTATGTGGGCTCACGGCTGTGACAGTCACAAAGAAGTTACTCTGTTTCTACTCTTTCCACAGCGCGACACTAAACAAACAACTTTGTGTGGTTCATAGTTTTTAGGAGAGAGAGAGAGAGAAAGAGAAAGCAAAAGAACACTTTACCAAACCTCACCCTTTTGGCTAAAGTAGATATCAAAAGTCAAGAAAGTGGGTGGAGGAGACTGGAGCACTGCTTGGTGAACCACAACAGTATGTTTTAACATAACACTCACACAGCACCAAGTCTTAAAAATGAACTAGCTTTATAAAGACTTCTGTTTTCTCTCTTCTGAGGTTTTATGGTTACACGTTCAGCAAACAGGTACAGGAATACGGTCACGTCCAGCTTACTCGATCAACCTGAAGACTGGACTATTCTGATCTTGGGTCATTGTGAGTGCAGACAACAGACTGAAGTCATGGTTGCGTGTTTTTGGTTTTGATTTCGTTGGTACTTTAGGGTGACCGGCAGGGAATTTATTTATTTATTTTCTTTTTTTCATGATGTGGTTATGACTCGACTGCGTGACAGCAAGAAATGATAATGTGCTGGCATGGTGGTCCATATGCAAATGTAAAGAGAGACCCAGTAAGGGATCTTGGCAGTACAGCTCTGCGGTGAAAAATGTTGGGACGCTGCGTAAAAAGTTAATGAAATCAGAATGTCATAATCTTCAAAATCATTTAAAACCTCACATTTAACTGAAAACCGACTTGGAAATTTTACTGAGAATTAAACCAAACCCATAGTCATTTGACTATTGCCCTGGAACCAGGAGGGCAATAGTCAAATGACTTGCTTTGGAGCTTTCTTTCTAAACAGAAACCTGATAAACCTTCACTGCAGGTGACGAACAGTTAAAAGGTTCACTTTAGTGCTTTGAAGAACATTTACTTACATTTAAGTAACTACAGCATAGCATATAAGTATTGAAGAGACTGATGTGGATTTATGGTGTTGTTTGTGCTCATTTGACCAGCTCTCGCTATGCTGTGAGAGGGATTGTGGGAATTCAACCAATGCAGAGGCTACAAACAAAACTTTGCCCTGGGTAGAATACTGATTGGTTGCAAAGAAAGGGAGTGACAGCAGAGTTCAGCATGAAGACAGTGGCTACAGTGGACAGTTTCAGTCTCATCTCACTATAAGACGTTGTTCTGTCTGACTTCTATCTTCTCTGCAGCATGTACTGTCAGAGCCATGAAAACCAGAAAACCGGCCTGCATCGACACTGGCAGACATATTATCCTTGTGCTGTCAAGACAATCCCACTTTCTTTGTTTTTTTTTTAGGTGTTTTTTCTGATAACCTGCAGCTATCAGAGCATTTTGTAGCCAAACTACTGCTTACCTGGACAAAGAATGCACATATTTAACAGCTATTTTGGATGAAACAGAAACCACGGGTTATGGAAAATGTTTTAAGAGCTGCAGATACCAACAGGGAATTTGGCAAGTGTGAAAATGTGATAAAATGCAGTCTCAGTGGGGGGTTACTTGTTATTAATATGATATTCAGCTTAATGTCTGAAATGTAAATGTGCTTAATTCTCTATGCTGCAGACAGACCACTAGAATTTCTCTCTTTCCTTTATCATTCTCAGGTTTCTGTCTAATCTCAGTCTCCATTTAGTTCTCCATTGTGAGGTTAAAGCTCTTATCTATATAAGGCTCCACACAGTGAATAAGCTCATCATCTGCATATATACCTTTATAAAATATGCCCATAAAGTTCCACTGCTCACCATTTAATTTTTTGTACTTCTTTGGAGTTCCATATTACTCTGCTGTTATACTTAACTTTCATAAAATCCTAGGGTTTCATGTCCCCACTTCCATCATATATGCCACTCATCTGTCACCTGTTTCTTGCATCACATTCAACCGTACGTGTCATCACATGGTGCTTTCACCTCACTTTCACCAGTTACCAAACTCATGGTCATAGTTAATCAGAGAGGAGCAGTACAATTTTACTCGTAAGACAAGCGCTTTAAAAAATGTAATATGATTCAAACAACAGCAGGAACACACGCTCAAACACAACGAACCGCTGCGTAATTACGTCCAGCATTAAAATTTAAGCAGTGACACACTACACTGTTGCGCACAAAGCTGCAAGGGAAGCTCCAGAAAGACAGGAGTTAAACATTTAACTATTTCCAGTGAGAACGAGCAGAAAATGTGCTCTCTCCAGCTACACGCATCTTTGTGAACTCTACAAATGTCGACTCCTGGGTTGGCTATCGCTTTACAAAGTCCAATTTGCATAACGTTGAGCTTTCCATTGTGTAAAGGCAGCTCACAGTGGTCCCAGTGTCTTTTATGATACACAATGGCTTTTATGAGAGCTAGCTCAAGTCCTTTTTGGCATTAAGACCGCATTACTCATACACAACACACGCACATGGGCAACATCAACAAAACTCATTCACGGCAAACAGAATCTCCCTATCGTCATACAGCCGCGCGGATGTATCATGTCTTTGTTTTTACGGAACCACAGTCACTTCCGGCCCAAAGACGCCTGCTCTGATCATGCTTTCTGACAGAGTCCTTCCTCTTTCAGAGGGCTGTCCTGTGATCCACTGAGGCCCAATCGCAGATTATCCGCCCCAGCTGCCGGAGCGGTAGAATGGCTTCATTATATGTCTGAGGTGCCTGATGAGAGAAGCAATGTAGAGAGTGTGGTCTTCTTTATCAGTGACCTTTGCCAGAACACAGCTCCTTAGTGAGAAACACATCTGATTAAAGCTGTTCTCACACATAAACTCCGGAAAACACCGGGTGAATCAGGTCGGGACTTTTTCTGAAGTTGTCCTTTCTCACATTTACAAGGAGATGGTTCAGATCAGCTGTATTCTCATTAACAGGAGCTCCCAGAGTGAGTGAAGCCAACAGCATAGTGACTTAAACCTGCGTTCTTTCTAATGTGGATGCCAAATAACATCCAATCCTATAGAAGCTCTTGGTGCTCTGTGTTTATTGGTGCGTTTTCCTGGTTTATTGGTGTTTATTGTATAGGTAAGGTGTACTTTATTAATTTAGTTACTGGTATTTTAGGCCTTTGGCAGATAGGATAATGTGGACAAACAGAAAAGTAGAGAGACGTGTAGTTAGTTCAAGGTCTGGAGCAGAGTCAAACCCAGGCTGCTGCAGTAAGGACTTCAGCCTTTGAGGTGCCCCTCTGTGAGGTAATGCAGTGCATATGTGATCTACAGCCATGCTACAGGCACTGTGTGGCAATACTTGGTCACACATGTGCTACTAACATGCTGTTGGTTAGCATGTTTGATGTTTAAATACTGTAAATCTGCGAGAGTACTAACAGCTGCCGATGAGCTGTAAGCAAAAGTAGAGCTGAGGCTGATGGTAATGTCGTTAATTTTCTTAAATGCAAACTCTCAGGACGTCAAATTCTCAACTCAAAGTCCAAGTTTTTCTTAAGTAAATGGTACTGAGACAAAACAAATGCTGTTGCTGTGTGAGGAAGAAACCTCCCCATCACAAAGTAATTAGCAGTAAGGAGCTAATATATTGTATACCTGATGGTGGGAATCTTGAGAACCAGTTGTATTTAAAGTAAGAGAGTATTTTTAAAGCAAATCAACATAAATTGATCATTGACTGCAAACAAACAGGCAAAAAAGGAGACACACATGGGAGGAAAAAAAAGAAGAAAAGACTTAATCTCCCTCCTCTTCAGTGAGAGGAGGGCAGAAACATCCAGCACAGTCTCTGGCACAGACTTCAGAAGATAAATAGCAGACATTTAATGCTTTTTAATTACTCACATACAGTAATTAGTTAGCTCAGGGATGTACCTCCCCTGTTCTGGCTCTCCCATTCACGCTCTCGCGCGCGCTCTGCTCACCCACTCCAGCTTGCCCAGCATGATGCAGGCTTGAATCGCGCACCGCAAACACACATCGAGGCTGGTAATTACACTGCTTAGATGGTAGTAATGACAGAGCTCGCAGAAGAGTGCAGCTTCCAGCGGAATGAGTGCAATCACTCTGGAGGAGGAGGTGCTGCTCACTGGTATGTCAAAGCAATGCAGGCAGACCTGAGATCAGAGTGAAATGTGACCGATAAGGAGGGATGAACCAGATGTATGCTGGCAACAAGAACAAAGACGAAGGGGCTTCTGATGATATAATAACAGGAGATAACTCGCCAAAAGACAAAAACAAACTCTCTGGATATAAAACATCTACAACACTTACAAACAGTGCAAACAACACTAGAGTGTGAGCTACATCATGGGGTGGTTTGACAAACAGATGGTGAAATGTATGACTGGCGGACAGGAGCAGAGTACAACATCTGGCATTCATGCCACCACGACTGCAAGAGAACAGGTCAGGCAAGAAGATGCCAGGTCTCGACTGACCCCAGGTTAGTCATTATTAACCTGATATGATATAGAAGTTAAACAAAACATCTACAGCTGATCTGAGACAGTTTGACAGCCCTAAAATCAAGCACAAAAACATGATACAAACATCTTTGTTAATTACTGGTCCTTCACTATCACATAACCTGCTTTCAGATAAGAAAATAAGGTGCAGTCACATATGGACAAGAGGAATGACTCATCAGTAACTCGTACATATTAAGAGAGATTGAGGAGATTTCTGCACACTGTCTTCTTTACTACAGCATCATTTATCAACTTATAACTTTTGAGTGTGTTCAGCCTGAAGCGAGTGAGTCATTGAAAAGAGGTGGTGACAGAGAACGTAAGCTCTCTGTCACGTATTTATATATCATTTACAAACTTTGTATCCTGGCTGACTAAATGAGGAACTGTCGTCGTCTGGGGTTTTTTGTCTGTGAATGTGTTTCAGACAGTGTTAATGGTGTGTGTTGTTTTGTACACATTTCGATGATCTGTACATGTGGGTGGAGTTGCACACTGATGTATTGTTGATTGTTGCCACCTTTGCCTATTAGAGGTTAGGTCCTGGTGGTGTTTTACACGACTATTGGAAACACAGAGGAAAGCCTTGTCAGTTTCTTCTTATTGCCTTGTAATAGCAAATACTTTATATGTGTAAGTATGAGAGCTGAAGTTCTCATTCATAAGCTGACACTTACATGGCTGAGCACTAGGGCTGCACGATTTTGCATAAAATGAGAATCTGGATTTTTTTTGCTTAGAATTGAGATCACGATTCTCTCACAATTTTCTTTTCCAGTATAAATATTTATTGCACTTATTAACTGCACATCAACTTCGTAACAGTTGAGACTGAACATAAAAACAATAAATAAACATAAAAACAACAAATGTCTCACATTTTGTCGTTGCCGCAAAATGTTGTACTGCTTGTAATTCCGTCTCCACCGTTGCTCGACACTGCGTGTATAGAGCAGGTAGTGCAACAATAGAAAAATAGTTGCGGGACGGCACTGTGTAGCGTTTGTCTAGGGTGTTGATCATTTTCCTAAATCCCTCGTTTTGCTCAGTGTTGATGGGAGCCATATCTTTGGTCAGGTGATAAGTGATAGCCTCCGTAATTTCTTTGTGCCTGCGGGAGTTCGACGGGTATAGGGAAGCGCTGTATAAGGTTCCCGTTATTGATGTTATTGACCGGGACGGATTTTCTCCTGTCACTTTCTCGTCATCCCTGACGTGCTCTCCGTTGTTTTTTCCCTGCCAATTTTAGCAGCCAGCTTCTGTACCACGTGGTATAAGGCTCCGCCCTTGTCATTTGTTGAGCAGGAAGAGTGAGCGCTTGTTTTCATGCAGATTACGTCCCGGATCAAAATGCGGTACAATCGTCGTCGTCTTTTTCTCTCTCTTTTTTAAAAAAATCGTCATTTGGAAATGAGATCGCACATAAGTATGAATTGAGATTGCGATTTTCTAATGATTAATCGTGCAGCCCTACTGAGCTCCCATTAAATGGATTATTTAGAGTTGAGCATGTTGGTTTTCTTGTTTGAAAAAGTATGAAGTGAAACTAAACTGAATGAATTTTTTGATGTAGGGAAAACAAAAGTGTGTTGATGCTGACCCGAATTTACTGACCTTTACTTCATTAAAAATTCAACTATGATCTTTTTTCTTTAATAATTAATGACCGACAAAAAATTCTAGGGTGTTTGGTGTGAACACGAAGAAGAAGCATGGCCTAAAGGGCAGTCAGAGGATGAATTGAGGGGCTGCACTATAAGATAAACAGGCATTAATTTTGTCATGCAAAGCAACTCTTACAGAGTCCAAGAATAAAAATGGAGCTGGATATAGACGTAATACATCCACTTTAAAGGTGGCTTTGGTCAAAAATAACAAGCCAATAGTAAACTCTTCAATAAAAAGAAATCCTCAGTGGATTTCAGAAAGGTTGGTGCCATTAAAAGGGAGTGAGTGTGTGTTCAGTGTGTGTTCAGTGGACCGGACGGCGCTCTGCAGTGGAGGAGTCAGGAGGAGGCTACAGGATGTCTGCAGGTGTCTGCCTGCAACTCCCTGTTGAGACTGAAGAGGCAACCTTCTTTCCCTCCACAACAACAGATTTGATAACCAAATTTGATGTTGGCATACGTGGCAAATGGAGGCTCTGCTTCTGACAAGGCAGCACTGTCAAAAACCAGCTGTTAAAGATCCACATTTTCCTACAACAGGAAACATCCTCTAAGAAATAAATGTAAATCCAGCCTTGTTGTTCTGATATTATCCCAACAGACTGCACCCCATGACCTATTCCAAATTAGACCTATTCTTTACAGAGAAATCACATTCTTAATGTGAACCAGGAAACACTAAACAACAACAATACTTTCAAGGAAACACTTTAAACAACACTAGCATTGCAGCACACCAGGCTGGGAGGAAGCACACAATGAATACCTCTGACTCCGGTCTGTGTTGGGCTCATAGGTCCGTTTGAGTTATTTGTAGGAGACATCTCTATCTTACACTGAACTTTACTAAGCTGCAGCTCTTTCCTCTCCACTCACTTTCCTCCCCCAACCTCTCCTGACCCCACTGTCATTGTCGCCATTGATTTCCATCTACTTTGCTTTTGCTGAATCCCGCTGATGTCGCCAACGTCACTTCCATCTGCCTGTCTGTCCGTCAGGCTGCTGTCCCAGGACACTAAAGCAGCTCGTGAGGCCGAGGAGGAAGAGAAGCAGAAAGACCGGGGGGTTGGGGTGAAAAGAGCTAGATTCATTTAGCACGCGCGCACACACACAGGCACTGATGTAATGAGTCTAATGATTTGCATCCAGTTGGAAGATCACAAATTGCAGCCCACACCGCGATTCATCGTTCACTGGTTTATCTGTGGTAGTGGTGAGAAAACGCAGCTGAACAGAAAGCTGAAGGGATTGTGCAAAAATCACAGAAGGGAGGTCAAGATGATTATGAAAGTATTCACATATTGCATCACTTGATGTTTCAATTGCCACTGCCGCAGAAAAATTTCTATGAAACAGCACCGGTCATTTCCACACAGAACATGTTAGTTCCCCTTTCTCTCAGTAGTCAACTTGCCAGGAGCTGATGATGACACTGATGATGATGATGATGATGATGATGATGATGATGATGATGATGATTCAGTGAACTGTTAAAGGGCATTTCAGGAAAAGTCCCTGCAGGAAAAGGGTCATGAACCTCAGATGCCAAGTGGAACCATGACAGCCTTTCTTAGCAAAAGCAGCTGACTTAACAGCTGTACTGAAAGATACAAGCACACTGTACCATAGTCTCTGCTTCTACATGTAGTTTCATGCAAAAAAATCTGCCGCGTAATCAACATTTCTCAAAAGACACGTCATTTGATTTAGTCAGTTTGGGCTCTAAAACATTTTCTGTTCGCCTTAGGTTGCGCACTTGAAGATTAACTGATTAATCAAGAATAAAGACTTAGCTGCAGCCCTGGCACTTATCACTTTTCTGGGAAATGTTAGATTCATTTAATTTATTTAACTAAATGTGTGAAAAATCCAGATTCTTAACCGCACTGAAGATAAGATTATATCAGATTTATTCACAGTGAAGTAACACATTCACAGATATTAACAGGATAGCTACAGCGTCCATTAGAGATCGTGAGAATGTCTGTCTCCTGTAAGAACAATTATGAGGCGGTTTCATGTGCAACACAGAACCGAGTGCAGGCAAATAGTTGCGGGCACACTCAGCACACACACACACATCCTAACTTATTTACGTTTCTTTCCATCAAAATGTCACTAATAATATTTCTCCCTGATGAATCCACTGCACTTTTCTAACTATTTAATGTTGTCTTATGCTGTGTAAGAAGATCTGATATATGTGTAAATTGCAGCACGATGAAAAGTACATGTCAAGACTCAACTATATATTTTAAGAAAAAATTAGCCTGAGCAGTAACAAAATTGAATTTATGTTAGAAAAGGCTTTGTGGGTGAATGCAGACAGCTCAGCGACAAATCAAAATGCTTCCTGAAGCTAACAAAACAAAAGAGCTATAAATCAGATTCACACATTCATGACAACAACCAGAGTGAAACAGAGCAAAGCAGCTGTTACAGAAACCAGAGAGACGGCTATGGGACACTTCAGAGTGTTTTCTGACAGTGGCTGCATGTGTAGCCCTCCTTTATGCAAGCAGAGTACATGTCAAGTGACCTGCTTTCCATTATCAGTACAAAATGCAGATGAGGAAGTGCTTTATCTCCTAGAGAGCAGTGCAGAGCCAACAGCTCCCACCTCCACTGCAGAAAAATATTGAGGTTATCAAGACAATTAACCTCTGATCGAGTCTTTAAATCTCACTTTGCTTATACCCAAGAACTATGTTCAAACTCAACAATGGCTATACAACCGACACAAACATCCATTGACAGTAAACGGTTTCAGATGGCTCATGAATGTTTAGCTCAAGAATCAACATTATAAAGAATTAATTACCCATGCAGATACCCATCACCATTCATGCTAATTTTACCTTTTTTGCCCTCAGCTGTGCAGGCGAAGCTTGTGGTGATGTCTGACGTCACTGTGCAGGCAGAGGCGGCCCGGTTTTTCACTCTGTACAGACAAGGCACAAACATCTTATTAAAAAATGATACCAACTTCTGTTCGGTGTTACATAATTGTAAAGTTTCTTTTATAATGCCAAACAGGTGAGCCTAACTTGTGGAATAAAATGTGGCACGGTGTTTTCAGCTTTTTGCATGTCATATAATCTGTGTGTGGTACTGATAATGTGTGTATGTGTAGCTGTAATCAGTTCCACGCTCATCAGAGCATTCACACAGACTTCGTCTATTGCTTGTGAGGAGTACGAACAAAGAGGCTCAAGACGGTCTATCTGTATTGTAAACAAGCTGGCAGACTCCACAATCAGTCGTTATGGTACAATAAAAAATTATTACTTAAAGTGAAACCATTGTTTAATGAACCCATGTTTGTAATTGACTTCTTGGATAGAGGAGGGGAAATTATGTTGGATGATTGTTTTGCAGAAAAGCACAGCGCAGTTTGTGATTTTTTTCCACACATATAAAATCAGATTTATACAGCTAAATGGAAAAATGTTCCCAAGTACAGAGCCCTGCATCAGGGATACAACACGGAGGAGTGAGGAAAAAAAGAAGACTAAGACAATATATCAGCTATATTTTCATGCTAATGAAATATTTGCTTTTATTGGACATATGCGTCCCATGGAACAGTTTCTTTTTTCTATTTAGTTAAGTTTGTACTTTCAATCTTGAAGGCACTTACTGCTCGGCTTTGTCAAAAGGAAGAGGGGTCAAGTCTCCACTTATTTTAGTGTTTTAATGATTAATTTTGGCTTAAAGCTGAAAAGTATATAATTCAGATATTTACAGTTATCACTGAACTATAACAGTTTGTGATGTATGTCTTAGTCACACAGGCCTGGAGACTGGTCAGTGACACGCTTGCTGAAGGTTGCTGGCTGGAAATATGGTGCTGTTCCCAAACCCTCCTTGTGTCTGCTTTGGTTGACAGTAGACCGCCTCGGTCACCTGGTGGAAGGCACCAACTTGCCTGCAAACACTCACCACCATCTGCTCCCTCAGCAGTAATGAAACTGAAAGTGTGTAACATAAACCAGAAGCAAAGATTCTGAAGTAAAACTGGTGCCTCACCAGTGAAACCAACATGGTTCAAAAGGCACACTTTTAATTTGAAGGTGAACTCTTCAAAGTTTTAAAGCTACTTTATCGTTGAGTGTTTGCAGACAGGTCAGTCTCATTCACTACAGCAATCTGCTAGAGACCAAAGCATCACAATGAGGTTTCAGGTGCAGCACCGACCGATTTCACCTAGTGACTGCCAGCAACCATGATGCAGTCTTCAAAGAAGTTTGTATACACACAAGCAAGCAGGTATGCAAATACATTTAAAAACATCATTTAAAGTAGGCTTTGCAAAATTCTTCCTGGAAAAAGGTCTTGATCTGCACAGAGCCGTAAAGAGAAACAAACACACATGCTCCCTGACTTGATTAACTTCACAATCCACCTCCATCCTCAACCTCTATCTTAAACATAGATGGAAACACAGAAGATAAGTGGAGGCAAAGTGAAGGAGCTTAGTGCTCTGTGATTAGAGGCTAAACAATGAAAAGGAGGGCCCTTGAAGTAGGACATAAAGATAGGGGAGAAGGGGGGGCCAGAGAAGCAGCAGACATAATGTCCTGAGGGGCAGGCCCATTACTGTCTGGCAAATACAGTTCTGATCAATAATGATCAATCAGAGTACACTTATCCTGCCGCACAAAGCATAATCACACTGTCTTTGGCAGTGGGGGAGAGCAGGGGTGGAGCAGGGTCAGTGATTGCATGAGCATCTATTTTACTACAACAGTGAGGGTCCTTAAAGCTAGCAGCGTCAGCACAGATTTAAGGCTCAGGCTCCACTCCACTGCACTGAAAATGAAATTAAACTCAAAGTGAAAACTTCCCAACCATGGAAGACTTTGCACCGCAGACCCCTGAAAGTAATTACACCTGCCTGTCAGTGTAAGACACTGTACACACACACACACGCACACACACACCTGCGCGTGAACCCTCCCTCTCTCTCTGAAGGACACATTATAGCAGTAAAATCAAGAAAACACTCTCCCTAACATCTATGCAGAAGCATAGAATGAAAACTAGCTCTATGTTTACTGAGTACGCCTACACGTACACAGCTATTCACATTAATTTTATTCACAACTGGAAAAACAGCAGATTTATTAACCTTTTAATTTCCATTTTAACTTAAAAAAATACATCCATGTGAAATAAACAAAGGAGTGAATATTTGGAAAACTTAAAGACAACAAAAGTCATCATCTTCTTCATCTGACAAAGTTGTACTGTTGTCAGAATGTTTCAGGGAACAGAGCTTTATTTGTTTTTCAAAAGTAATCTCACTTTTTACTGCAGTAAATTACATGAAATTTTATGTAAAGTTTGAGGAGAGGTGGAAAACATGAGCTGCACCACGTCGCATCACAGCAGGGAAACAAATATGATGACACTGCTGCATCAAGACCCAAACCACTGTGGGGGCTTTTTAAACTTTCTTTGTTAAACCAGACTTTCTGCCTCAGGCTCTGCACATGCTCACATGGAAGGGAGCATTTAATGCTTTCTTGTTACACAGTAAATGGACCTATTGAGAGCGGCATAGTACAGTCAGAGACATTATCAGAGGACAAGTAACAATGACCTACACAAACACAAACACACATTTCGACTGTCACTTATTTCTAACACACTTTAAAAATAGTACATAAAAAAGGCCATTTATGTCTAAAACTTTTCCACAGCTTAATGAAGCAGTCATGGGAATCGCATACGCCCATTCGTAGTGCAGTCCTCTTATAAACCACGTGCATGCCACAAAACACGTTAGTGAAAGGAGATGGCTCTGCTGCATTGTGTGGTCCAGTGGTCCTGATGAATGGCTGTGTCAGAGCAGAGCACGCTGCCGTAGAAGTTCAGAAAATCCAATGAATACCATGGATGAAGACAAATGACCTCGGTGGCCCCCACAAGCACCACATGTTCACACCACTAACCCTTCACATGCAGCAGAGAGCAGAGCTGAGCTAAGAGCAGGTGTTCACAGGTCCCTGCTGACCGAGGCTTTAGTTTTGTATATCTGCACGAACAGCAGTGGAGTCACTGTCTGCTTCTGTGATTGCTGCCAGAACAGGCCTGATCCCCCTGTGTGTACGTCTGTGTACATATGTTATGTTTTCAGGACAGTGGGATACAGACTTCAGTGTGAAGCTATAAATAAATAAATTCTGCTACAGACATTTCAGAGAAGAACAAGAAATTTTACCTGCAGAAGATGTGCAGCAACCACTGATGGCATTAAAAGAGTGTGTGTGTGTGTGTGTGTGTGTGTGTGTGTGTGTGTGTGTGTGTGTGTAAGCCTGCACCGTCATTAGTATTATGTCGTGATTAAGATGGGATTAACACTGATGCAATTTTGCTGCGTCAGTGTTCCTTCAGAGTTAAGCCTACTGACGTTTTTACTGACACTGAAACATCATCAGTGTCTGTGCACATCGCTGCTCTTTTTCCACACCTGTGCATCAGATAATGTACAGAAGTTTTTCCCCACACTAGCCTCTCACTGCAGAAATTAACAGATTACCTAAAAATACCCAATATATGATAACTTTAATATAAAATAAAATTAATAAGGTGAAAGGTGAAATCAAGTTTTTTGTTAAAGCATAAAGATATTAATTTCTTTTGTATCCTACTGGTTTCTTTAATTAATTGATGTGTTTCACATGCATTTTTCCTTATGGCGATAAATATTATTTGAAAGTATGTAACTGGATGTAATTCAATATTTCTGCTGGTTTAATGCCACTTTGAGGAAGTTGGAATTGCTTATTTTGTCGGTTAGCAAGCAATTATTTAGCTTAGCTATAGCTAAAAGGAAATACTTTTTAAGCTTTTAGGCTTTTCCCAGTCAGTGCCATCATCTACATTGCTCATACACTGTAAAATATCTAGATCTAATATCTAGATTCCAGAATATTGTGTGTACGTTTTCATGTTTACATATCAAACAGGAGCCTGAAATGTGTAATGAGCTCACATGTTTCAGGACAGGGAGGCCCCCTACAGAGAGGGTGGACAGCCCCATTCACACTCTAATGCTTGGGAGGGGGAGACATGGCAGCTTCCCTTTTGCATCTCTGTTCCCATGCATGACCCCTCTTGTCTTCCTCTGCTTTAATTAATTCACATTAAAATGAAGCCGTGGGTGAGAAGAGAAAAAAAAGGCAAGAAAAAAAAAAAAAGGGAGCCTGGTTTGCTTCCTTCTTCTATGTGTCACACGATAATGATGTATGGCTCTGTCCCACTGTCTTAAAAAGATATCACTGCATATGACAAATACATCAGGGTGAGAGCTGGGCTGATCAAATCAGCATTTAATCAATACGAATCTGAGACTGATGAGCCTCCCATGCAAATGTACCCATATGTATTTGCAGTGTAAGCGTGCTCAGTTTGCATTATTTGACACAAGCAGGGTATGACTCAGCTCACATCATGTCTAAGGAAATCCATCAATAGATTCAGGCTGTGACCATTTACTCAAAGCATTTTACGTTAAAAACACCCAAACTCTATCAGTCTTTCTTTCCATAATGTTAAATCATGAAATAAACTTAAACACAACCAGGGCAACTCTTATCTGGCATCAATTACCCTAACATCAACAATCAGGCTAAGTGATCACATGCAGGTTTAAAAAAAGAAACTTCAAATCACACATTTCTTAATGTCTAAGAAGTGAATGAAGTCCACAGACTGTGGGCTTAAAGTCTGGGCAACACAGGAGGAAAATAAGCGATGAAGTCATGTGTAATACACAGGGGCTCCTTTTTACCAAAACCACTTGGAAATGTTGCTGTAGATGTTTAATCGCTATGCTGGTGCTGGTTGCTATAGGAACGTAAAGGTGCAACAGCGAGAAGATGTACAGTGTAGGCGGTCGGCTGCAGGCAATCAGGACACACAACCCGAGAGCAG